CGGGCTGTCAGGTGGTGGATCATGACCAGCCTACCAAACATTTGATTGCTTCAAGTTGGAGCTCCGCCCTCCCTTTTTTTTTCCCCTTCTGTATTTGTGTGTGTGAATGTGAGTGTGAGTGTGTGTGTTCTTCGGCCAGCATTTCTGGGAAGCCCAGTTCTGCTGTTGGTAGTTTCACTGCCCTTGATGGAAAGAACGACCACCAGTGCCCGCATGCACTTGCTTTGCAGCCCAATTTTAGCCTCATTCTTTCCTTCATCATACAACTACTTGTACCTATTCTCTCCACTCGCTTTCTCTCCTCTCGTCTCGAGGCTCGCCTCACTCCCCTCAGCTTGCATGAACTGCCATTACACATGCTCAGGACCCGCCCGCCTTGCGTGAGTGAATTCGATTCTTTGACCGGCCATTTTGTTGTCTGGTAGATCGCCAAGCCATAAACTAATTACGGCCGGGCAGGCTGATCAGGAGGGAGCTACCGCAAAGCTACCGCAAGCTACGAGCAAACAACCAAGAGACAAGGCACCCCTGGCTTGTTGCGGACATAAACTCCAGACCCAACATGTCAGAGTGGGCCTGCATGTTTCTCGTCCAGTGTACGGACGTAGCGAGGCCGGACCAAAGACCCGCGGACTGCGAAATTGGATTGGGGATAACTAGAGGCAGGTATACAGTCGGCATAGGATGATGTTCTACTCTCATGCTCTATCCGGCAGAGGCAGAGGGGATCGTTCGCACGAGGAGTCGAAGTGTTCCGCCAGACAGGACCTGGACCCCGGGCTTGATTAGCTCCCAGCCCATTGCGCCGCAAACCGCCTAACCAGTGGTGCTGCTAGCTTCACCCGGTCCCAAGTCAGCCTCCTGTTCTTGGTTCTGTACTCCGTACAACCACAGAACAGCGGACTCGACTTTGGGAGGGAGGTATGATGAATACGGCGCATCAGGACGAGGTGATGAGCTGCCCAGATCTGGGACTGTAATTACCACATACCCACACACACCCCAGTCTTGGGCGCAAGGACCACCATTTAGCGGGATGTGATGTAAGGGGCACCCTGTCGACAGTTGACACCAGTCTCGGCGCCTCGATTGCTGACGATCTCACAGATCCATGTCAAAGTGCAGCACAGGGCAAGTCCTCGGGTCGGGCAAAGAAAGCACTGACGTTGCGCCGGCGCGGACCAGACAGCTCAATTCAGCCTCCCAATGTTTTGCAGCGTCGAGGAAGCTTCCTTGGTGTAATGATGTTATCAAGAGCTAGGCGTACCGAGTCTTGGACGTCATCTCCGAGCAAGAAAACTTGCTTCAGAGCCAGCATGGGCAGTGTTGTTCCATGGAACATTCTCCGTTGTAAGTCTACTAAGGTCCTCGCTGCAAACTTACATTGACTTTTCTTCCTGCTCACGTTTTCTCTTGCTTGATAATGGCCGTATGCCTTGATCCTTGATGGTGACACGCGAGGCCCAGAAAAGAGGCTGAGGAACCTACTTGAGGAAATACGAAACTGAAACTCAAGGTAAGGGGCACTCTATGCTAACATGTAAAGAAGAAGGATAGAGTCCGATGGGGAGAGGAAATGGCCCCAGTCTAAAGACCGTGTGGCACATCCCATCTGCGGGTAATCTCACGGCGGATCATATAATATGTCAGCCCAGGCTCGAACTCACGATGCCCTTTTGGTTCAAGATTGATAACGCTGAACGTTGTAGCTATCGTCCTCAGCCGCCTACCACGACAGATGCACATGATGGGGGCCAAATGCATCACGGCATGCGGCCAATCTTGAGGCCAGCCCCCCCTTCCGCCCGATTCACCAGCGGCACGTCCCGGTATCACATTGCAGACCACTGGCACACGATCTGAGGACTTCAAAATCGATACGGGTCTGCTTTCTGGCCTTCTGTGCGCATGCATTGCCACTACTTTCCATAGGTGGAAGTCGTAGGCATATTACCAATACCAACAACGATGAGCCCCTCTGCATACTCTCACACGGCGGAATTTCCGATGGCCAATATCCGCAGGACGCAGTGAAGCTACGGTGTCCCACAGGACGCTGGGAGTTGTTCAGCTGCCACAACATTTATTCGACACCACGGACCGACCACCGGCATTGCAGTTGCTTGTGCCTCGGATGAGCGCGCCCATGGTGCAAATGGATACACGATGGTCCTTGACGCCAATTAGAGACGACTTCACAGAGCGAGAGTGCCCGAACCACTTCATGACATGCGCTTGGGACTCTCGGCTGGGACCTTTTCCGCGCGAAGGTGTAAGACTGAACCCCCAGGCCGAAAACGTGTCTGCACTACCCATACCAGAACCGCAAAGCGACGTATAGCCTTTTTTCCCGCCGGCGGCTTTCTCCATACGGGTTGAGTGGTGAGCGCGCTGGCCAAGCGACAGCGAAGCGCCTCTTCCCGCCAATCACACCAATCAAGTGACAGTGGTTACCGCCACCAGACCTCGTACCTGCCAGGTGGATTGGAGTTGGAGACCACCTTGGTCTTTCATAGCGGGAAGAATGAAGGACAAGCAGCACCTTCACATCGAACATGCAACAACATTAGCAATGATTGGCGTCTTTATACACCGGCTCATCGCGATATGTGTCTGACCACCCACGTCAAATCTACCTGGCCCGCCCTGCCCCCAAATCGGAAGGTTGAACGTTCCGAGGCTCGTTAGTAACGACAATGAATGTCTCAGAGGTGTTGCTCACTTCTATCCGAGACTTCACAGACGGACCTAGTGTTATGCCGAAGGAAGGTCGTCTTTGACCGGGTGTCAACCTTCAAGTCTATCATCACCCGCCATGCTTCTTTCGTCATGGCACAAGCAGGGGAAGGCTATCACCTGCAGCTTGGACATCTCGTCAACAACCAACAGCTCCGGACAGCTGCAGAGCTAAGGCCTAGGTATACTCTAAGCCTGCCACCGGACCGATATCCGTTCAAGGTCACATCCGTCGTGCGTCGTGCGTTGTGCATGAGGCACAAGCCTGGACCCAATGCACCCCGGTGCGCAGTATGACCAGGTCCTTCCTGGGCTCGAGCTCATTTGCTCGGGGACACGACGAGAATTTGTTGGTTCAGGGGTTGTTCCTGCTTGCCCTAGACAAAGCCGATCAGCAGGGCTTTCATCCGAGATCAAAGGACTGAGAGATTCGACCAACCACTTATCCGGGTGTGATAACTCGCGCAGGTCCCGGCGAAGGGCGGAGACACATTGCACCTAGCTGGTCATATCACGCAAGACGGAGTCGGTACCTCGATATGGCACATAGTTACGTGTATCATCACCAGGCTTTAGCCGTGACGGCTGGCAGCAGACCAAAAGACGACGCCTTGGTCAGGGGTCACCACTAGGTGCACGTCGGTCAACACGAGAACTCGCGTCCACGACGTATCCAGGCAACAAAGTGCGGCACCAAGAAGGGCTTGGTCCTATGGCACGGATGCGAGCCTCGAGGCTCGTCCTGACTGGAGTTATGGCGGCTGAGGAGCTTGAACCATGTGTTTCCTCCTCTCCCTTTGCCGGCTGTGGGAGATGAGGTCGTACCCAAGGTATTTCTACGGGGTATTGACTTATGGGCCAAAAGGATCAAACAAATGACGGCATGCGATAGGCATGGAGGTATGAGGGATTCTGGTTTGTAAGGTAAGCATAAAGAGAATATTTATTCAGCGAGCCCTGCCTGTATACGCTGGATGGTTTCAAAGCAGGCCCCAAGTACTCAGAGAAGCAAGTCTGTGTTGTTTCCTAACTGTCACCGCACTCAGGCTGGATAGGTAACAAGCCTCGGGTTGACCAGGAGAACAGCAGGTGAAATTCGCCATGTACCCGACCCGACGCCTCGTCTCATACGCGCGGCGGGAAAGACATGTGCAAACAACAACTCAATGGCCCAGAACGGTTACGTTCGGCCAAAATTACAAGGGGCTACGGTCTCTGCCCAATTCTGGAAGTTGTTCTCGCCATGGGCCAAGGGCCATGCCGAGCTGGGCTCGGCATGCGAGGCCAGGTCCGTCTCCACACCCCGCAAAATCCAAGCGCCTGATCGGATCGCCCTAGCTCTGGGGTCGACACGAGAGTTCCCGAAGAATTCTCTTCTGGCCACCCTGCTGGCCAATCAAGGTCAGAACTGAAGCCGTTCGAGACTGTCGAGAAGGAGTACTTGGGCTGACAAGCCGAGACTTGAGAACTGCAGCCGCCTCGAGCTCCACTCCCCTGGATATCAGGACCCGTGCTCTAACTGACCTACTGACATCACACTAGATCGTGAAGATGCCCTTGCGATGCTGAGAGCCCAGGGAATTTCGACGCCCCTTTCCTGCCATTGTTCTCGCTCTGTGCTCTGCTGTTTCTCACTCACTCGCTCCCTCGTGCGGGCAGCGCGGTTAACAGCGGCCTCGTGTCATTTTATTCTGTCAGCTAGACCTGCAAGCCCCCAATCAAAACCCCACGTGCGGTCCATGGCGCCATCCATCATATGCTTCCTTTCCACCCCCAAAAGGGCCCAAAAGGGGGGGGGTGTCGACAAGCCCGCAAGAATGGAGCGAGTCAAATCATGAGACACAGCCCCGCTGCGAGCTTGTACGTACTGACACCGCCTGCCGCCGCCCCAAAGCAACTCGTGGGCCCCTGCAGCCCTCTGGCCAGGTATCGCCTTGTATCTTTTTTCCCTTCCCTTGGTCCCCCATCGTATCCCATTCTGATAAGCGCGTTTGCATCTGATTCACTACCGGCCGGGTAGGTAGGTCTGGAAAGCATATAAGGGATACCATCCCTCCCGGCCTTCCAGCTCGGCTCCTTTGAATTATCTCGTCATCACCATCATCATCCAAACCTGCAACAAGTTCCCATTCAATCCCGCATCCCAGAAAGTGCTCTCACTCGGGTCACCTCCCTAAGTCCCTACGGCTCAGCTCCTTGGAAGCCTTGCTTCCAAGATATCAGCCCCCGTCCTTGTCCCCATCACACCCAGCAACTCCGTCATAATGTCTTCATCTTCAGCCGCTCCCACGCTCAGGTCGCTCGAGCGTCGCCCGCTCACAGAGTTCCTCTCGCTAGCCCCGGCCACCTCGGCTTCCTACCCACAGTCTCAGAAGGCGTCCTCAGTCAAGAGCCCAACCCTGGAGACGGCTAGCAACGTCACCGACGCTATCCCCAAGGCCGAACCTGTCAAGCGACGGAGCTCCAGCCTCAGCAGCGACGGCAAGAACGGTGCCCGCCGCGTCCTCAAGCTGGGCCCCGTTCACTGGGGTGAGCACCCGGACGAGCACAAGGAGGACTGGCACGAGGTGGCGGTGGAGTGAACGCGGGAGCAGCCTCCTAGATGGCGACTTGCACGGGATTTTGAGCATTTCACGGTTTCTACTTCTCTTGACTGTTCTTCCACTATGACTTTCTTTCTTAATGAATGGGATTTACAAAAACGGAGGTCCAACTCCGCCGCCTCTTTATCGTGTGGGCGACACACTTACACCCCTTTTACGACATGAACGACTTTAGGTAGTTACTAAAAATGGGATGGGACAAAAAGTCCAAAAAACAGGGATGGGCGGGCTTGGTTTGGTTGGGTATGGGGACCTTTCCTTACCTCTACTATCGTTTTCCTTTCTACCGCGGGTGAAGGGAACACGCGCGTGTGACATGACTGGAACACAAAATTAAGCTCTGTTTGAATCAGCAAGCTAGAAACTCGCTGCAGATAGGAACGAAATTGAACTGCCTGGCAAGGGCGAAAAACACTGCATGATCGACGTGAAATTAATTACCCTGGGATGGTGTCTCATCTCGATGCCAATGCTACAAGTGAAAACCTCTACTGGTCATGCCTCGACGAACACATCCAGCTAACCCCAGAGCAGGCCAGAACCCCGGTGGTTGCCAACGGCCGGGGAAGGCCAAACACGCGTTGCACCCAGACGCCACTGGACTCCCGGAAGGTAAAGTCAAGCAGCGGGGGAGGGAGAGAGAGAGAGAGTGTGTGTGTGTTATGGGCTGACTTGCCGGGGCATCCGCCTGCCTCAAGCGTCCTTTGATAGGTCTCTCTGGGTCCTCGTCGCCGTTCCTGATCTTTCCGTCACGCATTTCTAGCTTGTACGTTTGCCCCGAGGCCCCTTCGGCTATCAGTGGGTCAAGGCGACCATTGTTGTGTCCCCTTGGATGCAGGAACATGCAATTTTCAACTTGTGTGGAGTGTTTTTGTTACCATCTTTTTAGTAACTACTCGGTAGGTAAAGCTGCTTGGCTCTCTCTGTTGCATCTCACTACATTCTGGCTGCGTGTTGTTATCCAATGGATGTCTGGTGTACTGTGGGCATTCGCCCACATAGGTAAGTAGACTGACTACCTGCATCCTGCATGTGCTGGCTCCGCGCTGGTGACTTGCGCAGAATTTTTCTTTCCCTTTTTTCTTTTTTACTTTCCTTTCCCCCTAAAATATTCGTTTCGCATCTTTTCTGATATTACATGGCGGAATGATATCCGACGAATCTCCGTCCGTCCTGTGTTATGTCAGAGATGGATGGAGTGGGCTCCGCCCCGTCTGGCTGCATGATGGTCTAGGGCCGTTTTTTTTCTTATACCAATTCCGTTGCGCTTATACCGGCATGTGATAATGGCGAGCGAGGTGATTTGGCAGTTTCTGGGACATGCCGCTTACGTCGGGTTGTTCTACGTCAAACAACGTCGAGACGAAAGAAGAGGGTCTCGCAGGCAGCCTCACCGCTATTGTTCTGTGTCCTACTTGTGTTAGTCGAGACTCTTTTTTTTTGTTTCTCGCTCGCGGTTTTCTACGGAGTAGGCTTTCGCGGGAGGAATAGATCGGGCAAGTCCAAGGAAGGCTCTCCAAGGCGAGAGGCACGCACGGCTTCGCTCTGGGACATAGAAAATTATGTCGAGACATGTGTGTCGGCTTCTGTAAGATCATGAATTTCATGTATATGGGTGGAGCAAAAAAGTCTTCCATGTCTGTTCCAGACCCTGTGTCCCAAGACCAACACATCCTCGCAGCAGCTCTCGGATGTACCGCCATGTACACGTATCCCAGGTGACACTTGCTCGCTTGATGAAATCATCTAGCTGCAAGTTCTTCGGCTCGGTATCACCCGCCGCAAGAGTTGTGATGGGAGTTGTGTGTCGACCATCGAGAAGCCGACCTTCTGCCTCGAGTCTCACATCGCACCCTTGCGGAAAGGCTGTTTCGGAGACACCCGCCCAGGCAAGTGTAAGCTTTCTCAAAACGGCCTTTTCTTCCCTCCGAGGCCTTATCAGTACAACTGCTTCCTAGGAGAGAAGGTCCATCCGAACAAGAAGGGGTTGGCTGCGCTGGCTAGCCACACGCAGGGCCACGAAGAAAACGCAACACCACCACCACCACCCGGACAGACACACACCCCATCTCATGATGATGCAGCCCCGGACGCCCAATCAACGAACAAGTGCCCGCACCCCCAGGGGCACCTAGTAGCCAGTAAACCTGCCCCCAACCCTCACAATCTTACCCTCCCGGGCATCTCCGCCGTACTCCCTGACCAGAGCCGGCACATCGATGCTCAACCACTCATCATCGTCGTCCTCGTCGTCGTCATCATCACCCACCACCACTACCCCGCCGCCCACACCCGCCGCCGCCGCCGCCGCAGAAGAAGAGCCACACTTCTGCGTCCCACACCCGCCGCCGTCCCGCCGGGCGTGGAACCGGCACCAGAAAGCCTTGTGCCCGCGCCTCCACACGCGCAGCGCCGCGCCGCCGTTGCCGTCGCCGCCGCGGCCCTTATCCTCGAGGTCCAGGTCCGGGTCCGCCAGCACGCGCGCCAGCCGGGCCAGCGGCTCCCCGCCCGCCCCGCCCGCCAGCACGCGCACCTCGAGCGCGCGCAGCCCGCCCCGGAGCACGAGCCGCTCGAGCGCGGCGCACACCCGCCCCGCCCACAGCCGCTCGTCGAGCCGGCGCACGTAGACGACGAGCCGGCGCGCCGCCAGACTCGGCTCCGCACCCGCTGAGCCCTGGGGGGGCGACGACGACGAGAGGAACGCGTGCGGCGCCGCCGCCGCCGCCGCCGCCGCCATCTCGGAGGAGGAGGAGGAGGAGGCCGCGCGCTGCTCGTCGTCCCCGTTGGTGTAGTAGGTGTCGGGCTTGGCGGTCTCCGCCGCCGGCAGGAAGTTGAGGTGGAACTCGTTGTGCGCCCAGTACATGCGGCCCGCGAGCGCGCCGAGCAAGGGGTGCGCGAGGCGCAGCGCCGCGGGCGGCGGCACGTCGCGGATCCGGCGCGGGCGGCAGCAGCAGCCCTGCCGTGCCCTCCGGCCGCGGGCCGTCGTCGTCGCTGTCTGCCAGCTTATGCTGCCGTCCTCGTCGTCATTACTGTCTCTTCCTCCGCCATCACCGTCGCCAACACCCCGGCCGGGCGGGAGCGAGGCGGAGAGCGGGGGCCCAATGAGGATGCGCGCGTTCTGCGGCACGAGGAAGCCGAGGACGTGCTCCTGGAGCTCCTGGGGCAGGTCAAAGAAGCGGTCGAAGGACTGCAGAGCAGGTGGTGGCGGCGGCGGCGGCGGCGCGGCAGGTCCGGCATCGTGGCTGGTGTGCAAGTCCATGGCGGCCCGTGTCAGAAAAGAATTATCGGGCCTGACATCTGCACGATATTCCGACACCTAGAGCAGTAGATAAATCCGGGCACTCGAGAAGACATGTCCCGCGGTAAGTATCGCATGAGATCACATAAGTGACGTGTTTGTTGGTCCGGTCCCGCCACCTGTCTTTGCTCTTGGTAGTGAATGAAGGAAGTTTTGTGGATGGTGCAGTGCAATGAGATGACGCCGATAGACCTAAGTCTCGTTTCGGTGATGTGGGGGAGCCTGGCCCGCCGCCGATCCGGCAGTTACAGTGGGTCTCAGAACCCCATGTCCATGTTTTGATGCACTCGACAGCAGCAAGAGATGTAAAGGAGCACTGAAAAGTGGTAAGCCATTGATTGTATTGTACCCAGATACTCTATCCATGTGCACATACTATACCATCTGAATATACAAATTATGTTGTAAAAAACCCAAAAAGAAAACACCCAAAAAAAAATACAGAAATTGCGTTCAAAAAGGAATGCCGACCCCGAGAGTTTTGGAATTGTAGACCATACTTCCCAATTCCACACAGAACCTCTATAGTACAAAGAAAAGACTTGCGCCGGCCCATTTTGTCACAAATACCGTAAAATATCTCAAGTTCAGATCTGTTTACACCTCTTGCTCAATGTCCTTCTTCCGCCGGATACTGCCGAACCGGCGCTTCAGACCGTCGCTTATCCGCTTGCCAGTGCTGTTGTGGCGGCGGATGTCGTTGTTGGTCGAGAAGCCTTTGGGTGAGTTGGGGCTCATGGGGACCTCGAGGCGAGAGCTTGGACCCGCCCCTTCTGCAGCGGCGCTGACGCTTCTCTGTCGAACAGTGTACTCGCCGTTTTTCCCGCTGCTTCTTCTGTGCCCGGTAGGCTGCATTTCATACTCGATAGGTCCGTTACCCTGGGAGCGAGTATGTCTGTGCGAGCGGGCCTGCTTCTCCTTGAGATCCCGCTCGTAGGTGAAGGATGGCTCGCCCTTTCCCTTGTAGTCGTCGGGGAGGTAAGACTAGAATAGAACAGTCAGCTCACTGCCCAACTATGAATCAAACTCATCGACAGGTGTTGGAATGCTTACAACGCCGTCCCAGCGCTTATACGCACCGCCGCCAGCGCTTGGCTCTCGCATCAAATCGGCACCTTCCTCATACTCCATGAAGCGGCCGCCAATGTCCATCTCACCGGGTGGCACAGTGGCCGTGCCTTGAAGTGGGACATGCTTTACCAGAGAGTCGTTGATGTATGCTTGCGGTGTGGCCTTGATAGCCTCCATGTTGGTGTCCTTGACGGCTTCCAATGGAGAGTATTTCTTGTTGATGTTGCTGGCAGCCAGCGTGGCGTCGTAAGGCCCGGAGTGATGGTAGCTGCCACCGAACGACTTGTCGAGTGCATCGATGGTGTCGACCGGCGGGTTCTTTGACTTTTGGCGCCGATGCTTGCGCTCCACCGACCGGTGATCTTGCTTGAGCATATCGAGCGGCTTGTGAGACATGTCGCCCGGGTATCGCTGATTCAGAGATCCGCGTCTCTGAATGCCTCCAGAGGCAGCGCTAGTACTCCGGTAGAGACCTGGCTCCTTGCTGCTCGAGGCTTGAGTGTGATGGGTCTGCGGAGGGTATCTCACGGTCTTGCTTCTTCCAAAGTCCGAAGTATCTCTCTGGGACTGGTGGGTTGGAGAGCGAGGGTTGTAGCCCGAGTTGCGACTGTTGATGCTGCTGCTTCTTCCTAGAATGGTCCCTGCCGGCGCCCAATCGCCTCTCTCATGCGATGAAGAGGCGCGCGACGAGCCAGAGAACGGATTGGAGGGATGGAAGCTGTCGTGGGTTGAATTGGCCGAGTGCGGCGGCGTCGGATAGCTGCTGTTTCTGCTATGGCCGCTTGATACTGGCTTGGCTCTCATAGAAAGCGAACGTTGGGGGTTGTAGAATGAGGTTCCAGGGCCAGTTTCTTGTGATGGCTCTGGCTCTGTGAAAGGATCTAAAAGATACTTCTTCGCCTAGTGTTAGGAATTGAGTATTACGTATTAGTATATTCCCTAAAAGTATGTCCGAATGAAGGACGATAGATTTTGAACAAGAATCGAAACAATGGGAATTCCAAGAGCAAGACTAAAAGTAAATGTCTTCAAATGCCAAGGACGGGGAGCCGTTGCGGCTCCTAGAATGTAGAGGTGACGCAAGAGCTCCAGAATTTGCTGGCGCAAGCCGTTAATACGGGCCCGGCTGCATGGGGAGCAGACCCAGCCGGAAACCATGGCGGGGGGGGGCCCATCCATGCCGGCAGAGCCATGCGTGGGCGCTTGCTTTTCCTTGCCCTGACCTGGCAGGGTCCGATCGATCACTGGGAAGCGAACCCGGCGATCGTCGGCATGGACGGGTCTTGCAGGTCTTGCCGCATTTGGCCCGATGATGAAATACCAGGCTGGGTAGCAACTTGGGGGGTCGCAAACCAGCGCACGAAACAGCACGCATGCATAGATGCGCCGTGGTGATTTGCTCCGGGCAATGATATCGCAGAAGGATGACAAGGAAACAAGCGGACCAGATCCAACCGCTGCGCAGCTTGATACAAGGCATTCTACTCACCCATTGCTTGTCTTCGCTATCGCCGGCCATGGCTGTGATGCAATTGCGACAGTAGCTAAGTCGCTACTGAAAGAGAAGAAGGTGGGTTTGGCGGGTGGTACGACCTGGCAGCGCCCGTTTCGACGGATGCGATAGTGTGTGTGCGCGACAAGGCGACGATGCGACGATGCGACGATGTCTGAAAGCTTAATGTTCCGAGCGGGAATTGACGCTTTTGGCACAGGAAACGGCAGCGATAAGGCAGCGAGTCCAGTTCGTCCTTGATTGCACCAATTTGAAAAGAAGGAGAACGGATGGAAGATGAATGAATCGAGGGTTGTGGGAGGGACGATTACGAAGTAGGTCATGTGTGCCGGGCGGTCCAGCCAGGAGCAGCAGCAGGAGCAGCAGCATCTTGACTGAGTGACTGATGAGTGTGTCTCTCTCTCTCTCTCTCTTCTCTCTAGCGGTCCAGTCTCTTCCGCAGCACACTACTTCGTACGAACTAACCTCCAGCTACATGTACAGGGTCGAGACCGGACGAACCCAACCCAACGACGGGGTGTGAAGGCGGCAGGCTCGGGTGCCTGACTCTGGGCGCTGTCGCCCAGACTGATTCGTCTGATCAGTGATCACAAACGTCTTCGCAGCCAAAGGAGGGGACGACACCCCACAAAAGATGTGGGCTCCGCAAATCGGCATACGTCATGCTCTCTCCTGTTGCTGCTGCACCTACTCCCAACGTGGACAGGCGCCAACTCTTTAGCCAGGTCCAGTTTCTCTTTAGCCAAACCAATCTCCGTCACTCGTCACTCATATGGGCTCGTCCTCATCTGTTGCATCATTCATGCCAGCAAGTGAGAGTTTGTCTATTTTTGTTTGCCTGGATATGTACCTGTAGGTTAACTCTAGTAAGCCGAGTCATGGTCTGGTTGGTGCCAACCCACCCTCCTGGGTCCCCAGTGTGCTCCATATGTCTTGGTGCTGAGCCTTGGGTAGTTACGCGTAACTTAGGTACGCTAGAACAAAGCCGCACGACTCAACCAACCACCGGGTTGGCGCGTGGCCCGAGCTTCCCCTTGAGACCTGTCAAGTCTGGCCTGTTTGTACCTGCATGGACGCTTATCGCCAAACGGGCACCGAGCCAAACATCCGTGTCAAGGCAAAAGCAGCTACCGGTGGTTCCGGGGACAGCCATGCTGACTACGCTCGCCGCATCTGGTCCCAGGAGTAGCGACAATGGCACTAGTCGAGTACTCCTCGGACTCGGATGCTGCTGAACCAGACAGCACAAAGGAGCATCCCGAGGCCGCACATGCTGCCAAACGGAAAGTAGCAGGTCCGGATGGCTCGACAGACCCCAAGAGGCCTCGCCCGTCGTCCGGCAATGGACCCCTGACCAGAGCCCAAGGGCGTTGCTCCTCGCAGGGATCCACGCCGAGCAAGCTCCCACCGCTCCCCGCGGCGTTTCACGACCTCTACGCCTCCACGGTGCGCACCAGCACCGTCGACGCCCCCAGTCTCCACCAGGGCCGCAGCCGGCAGATCCCCCACGTGGCGGGCAACTGGCCAAGCCACATCTACATCGAGTGTGCGTTTCCCTCCAAGCATCATTTTTAACTACTCTTCCTTGGAGAGAGAGAGAGAGATCCTGGCATTGACAGATTTTCCCGTCACAGGGTTCCCACAGCCGAGTGAATATGAGCTTCTGCAGCGCCTCGTAGAATCCCTGCGGCTCGAGCTCGGAGGCGAGGGCGGGGAGCTTCACACGTTTCTGACCAGTGACCTGGGGGCGCCTCTCCCGCTGCATATCAGCCTCTCCCGTCCCTTTGTCCTCAAGACTCAGGAGAAGGATGGGTTCCTCGACGAACTTGTCGAGTCCGTCCGAGCAGCCCATGTAAAGCCGTAAGTCGGCGACAACAAGCCCAGGGCCTGACCAGGACTAACACTCTGTGTTTTAGGCTGGACCTCGACATCGTCTCGCTGGCGTGGCATCGCAGTCCAGATTCGAACCGCTCCTTTCTGGTTCTGCGCGTCAAGACACGGAAGGAATTATCCTCCCTACTGGCACGATCCAACAACCTGGTCGCTGCATACGGCCAACCCCGCTTGTATGCCTCCCCAGATGGAAGGGCGGAGGAAGGTGATGCTTTCCACGTCTCGATCGCGTGGTCTTTCGCAGGACCCGGCACGGTAGAAGCGCAGACGGCCAAAGTCTTTGAGAGCTCAGAGTTTAAGAAGCCAGTCACCAGCATCAAAGTCGGTCTGAATGCTGTCAAAGTGAAGATCGGAAATATCATCACCAGTGTAGAACTAGACGAGACAAGGTCCGGCAAGAAGCGCAAAGGGTCACTTTTCGGGCTTTAGACTCTCGAGTAAGATGGGAAGTCTCACGAGCAGTGAGCGATAAATAAACGCGCTGCCTTTTTGATAATCTATGGATATCCTTGTAGAATTGTGTATATGTACAGCGTCGACGAACACGATCTAGACGAGACATCGACTTCTGTGTTTGTTCCGAGACAACCCAAGACCCTATATGACACAGTTGAACCGCCCAAAAGGAAAACCCTCCATGATATAGAAAAGAAGAAGAAAAAAACGCCATGCCGATGATGTGCACCGCGATACCATTGCGGATGCTACCTGGAAACTCCAGGTTGAGAGACGCCCCCTCAGGGGTAACGGGATCGTCTTTCGTGATGCTTCGTAGTTTACTTTTCTAAGAAACACTCTGTGTATTTGTACAGAGCAAGACAGGATCGTTCGATCCAAAAACCCCTTCTCAAGGGGACATCACAGCTCATCGAGCTTGGGCCGCTCGATCTTCCACCTCCGCGGGGCGACAGGCAGGCCGATGTAGTACTGCCACGCCCGCTGAAGCTCCGATGTGACGATAGTATACCTATTACAGGGCGGAAAACCAGATGTCAGTACATAGATATCAAATCGTCGCCAGAGGGGGGGGATCGGTGGGACCGGAAAAAAACTTACAGCAAGCCCGGCATGCCGGCCCAGCTCTTGAGCACGAGCTTGTACGCCCTCCACACGAGCGACAGCTCGTCCCAGAACGTCTGCGCGAGCGTCCTCTCGAGCCGCTCCCGCCGGCGCCGCTGCGCCTCCGTCTCGAGCGGCGCGTCGTCGTCCTCGAGCCCCTCAAAGTCGTCCAGCGCCGCGGCCGGGTTATCCGTCGTCTCGGGCGGCACGACCACGTGGTGCGGCTTCTTGGCCCGGTCCGGGATGACGTTGTGCCCGCCCTCGATGGCGTCGGCCTTGCCGTCGGCGGCGACGGCCGCGCCCGCGCCGGCCGCGAGCTCCTGCTCCTCGACCATGGCGCGGAACTTCTGGATCGCGCTCATGGAGCTGCTGAGCCGGGCGTACGTGTTGAAGAGGGCGACGAGCTCGGTGCGCTTGAGCGCGGGGACCACGGCCTCGCCCGACTCCTTGTGGTTGTCGGCCTCGAAGAGCACCTTGAGCGCGGCGCCGTAGCCCGCCGTCTGCAGCTTGCCCCAGAGGCGGCACTTGTCGCAGCCGACGCAGTCCATGAGCCGGCTCACGTTGCGGAACCGGTTGCGGAAGTCCTCCTTGAGCGAGGGGCCCTCGCCGTTCTTGAACAGCAGCGACTCGTCAAAGATCTGCGGGACGGACGAGGCCGCCTCCGTGACGGCCAGCACCTTGGCGCGCGTCGAGGCGTCCTGGCCGCGGTCGCCCGTGCAGAAGGTGTAGCCCCCGGCCAGGTGCGGGCCCAGCTTGGCGACGGCGCGGGTCAGCAGCGCGTAGTTGAAGTACAGGTTGCTGATGCGGTCGGGGAACCGGTGCAGCCGGGCCTTGTAGCACGCCACGTTGGGCGTCCACTCGCCCGTCGTCTGGTTCAGAAAGTCCCAGCAGAGGTGCGTGCTGATGGAGGCGTGCATGCCCGAGATGACGCGGTAGAAGACGCGCTTCTCGATGCACTCGTCCTCGGCCTCGAGGCCCGTCTTGGCCACGAACGGTATGTCGGGCTTGACCTGCCGCTGGCTCTCCAGGACCTGCTGCCGCCCGGCCGCGTCGAGCACGTGCTTGAAGTCCAGCGCCGCCGGGCCGTTGTCCTTGGACGAGGTGCCCAGCTGGGCAGATTGCGGGAAGGAACTCTTCTGGAAGCAGTTCTCGCGGTACACGGCGTCCCAGACCTGCGCGGCGCCGTCTCCGGCGTACCCGGTGAACCGCTCGGGGTTCTCGAGCAAGCTGACGTAGTCGCCCTTGGAGCTCGCCCCCTCGTCCTCTGGCACGCAGTAGTCGCGCTCGTCGCACTCGTCATCGTACTCGAAGACGCAGCTCTCGCCGACGTTGTCGCCCAGGCCGCCCTGCAGCGGCTTCTCGGCGTGCTCCCTGCGCGCCGACTTGCCCGGGTGCTTCGCCCGCGGGCCCTCTAGCTTGCCCAGCTCGCTCGCCCGCCATACCATCGGGATGTCCTCCTCGTTGTCCAGCGTCTGCACCGCGCAGGCGATGTTGCCGCACATGCCATTCTCGTCGTTCCAGAAGGGACACGTCTTGTGGAAGAGGTTGAGACGGTAGTGGGAGAAGAAGTCGGTGGTGCGGGTCAGGTCGTTGATGGCGGGGTTCACCTTGGAGTTGAGCTTCTCAAGGGTCGAGTAGGAGGCGCATGCGTCTGACACTATGGCCTTGGGCGAGATCTGGACGCGGAGGTTAGAGAATGACACTCGAGGGTCGGTAGGAGCGAGTTGGCGCGGCGAGGGCGCGGCGGCGGCGCCCCCCTCCACTGCGGCCAGGCAGGGAGCAGTCAGGAGGAGGGCGAGAGGGCAGAGGATAAAGAGGCAAGAAGTAAAGTCATACCGGACACGCATCTTGAGTCTGTTGGCATTCTGCCTGCGGTCCCAAGAGCGCAAAGATGCTTAGATAGAAGAGCTTGGCCGCCGACTTCATAGCTCTAGGTGGTATCCTCGCCCCGGGGGGTTGAGGTCCGGGGTCGAGAGGGTATATGTTTGGGTGAGATTTCGACCGCAGTCGAGTGGAAAGGACAGACTGTCGCAACGGATCGGCAATTGCAAACGGTCGGGACTGGGACCCGGCTGACTGAGGAACCCGGTAGGTAGTGAAACTGTGTCGAGACCTGTGTGGGTGCAGTGTCAAGTGTGTGAGGTGTTCGGATCGGTGGCTAAAGTCCCATGCGCATATTACCCAAAGACGTCGATGTTACGTCCACCTCCGAGCGCCCAGCGTCAGCAGAAAAAAAGAGGCCGACTTAATGTTATCGATTCGACGGATAAAAAAAGGCCAGGGTCGCCACCTTTACGTAGGCGCAGATTGATTAGCTCCTGTCAGGACAGAGTTTAAAGTGAACGGCGCGCGGAGTGAAGGGAGGGACAAGAAGGGGAGAGCAAAGGCGCTGAAGACTGGCTACAAAGAGGATGAAAAGATCGTCTAGGCGAGGATCTTCCTCGACTCCTATTTTTATTCAGCAACCTGCTCAACTCTCCGCTAGTGAAGTTGCCAGGTGGTGTTTATTATGTGAGCAGAACATGTGGTGCAAGTGGTGTATTACTCAACTCCGTACGGAGTAACCAGAGGTACGTACTTGTACAGATATCAGAATTGGACGAGGCGGAGTACGCCGGGGCCATATTTGGACATGGGAAAGGTGTCCAATTGGAGCATGCATCAGCCGATTCAGTGCCTGGATGGTGTGTTCTCGCTCGCCTCCAAATTGCCCACATGTGCAGGGCGGCAGGGCCCATTCCACATTCATCTTAGGACCCGCCTCCGGAGCCCGCCCCGCCTACCTTAATTCTTCCCATGCCCAGCGTGCTGTCACCGGAACGCTCACTAAACTTAAAAAGAGAGCGATGCAGCAGGGTGGTGAGGAGGCTCCAATTCTGCATAGGTAGGATCTGAAAGCTGCGATTGCCCCTATCTCTATCTGGCAGATGAGGCCTTCCAAGGGGAAAAGAAGTGATGCGGGGGACAGTGCATGCACCTCCATGCTGAGCCATGTCTTAGTCCCTGTGCTTAAAATATACGGCCTATCCGCAAGGAAGGGCGAGAGTGGCTCGTTGTGGATTGGGCGATCAACATGGGGGATACGACCGCAGCCTTCCCAAGCCCTCTTGTAAAGTACCTGCCGAGCTCATACGTCACCGAGCAGGTCAACTCTGAGACTGGTACCATAACTGGACCTACAACTACCTAATTCTGCTGCTCTATAACGAGATTTGACCGCCTACCTATAAAACCAAACCATCTTTCACGCTGGTTGGCCACTCTCGTCGTGCCGTGCTAGTAACTGTGCTCAGACTTGATATTGGACGATGTCAGTTATGTCACATTCTCGCAAAGTCATGTCGCTTGACGTCTCGGGGGATTGCCTGCATGGGAGTTAGAGATCTTGTCATTACTCTCTAGATAACCAAGCAGACCACGCAACAAAACCTTATGAGCCATGGAACTGCCTGACTGATTTTCAGCAACTTTTTCTCAGAACCCAACTCGAATGCTCGACTGTCCCCAGGAAAGCGCACCCAAAACTGGGATATCCATGATAGTCCTCATTAAAACAATCGTCGGGTCGTCCAAGACCGAGATTTCCGTGACTCAACTCCATCCGCTTCCTCTTGTATATTTTTGTGACCCCTCCTCGTTCCAGAAAGTGAGTGCTCCGTAGATTCTAATATTCATGAAAAAGCGAAGTCATCGGGGACGGTCATCAAAGGTCCAGAGCGGAGAGATGGTGGCTAAACCACTAAAGGTGGAGAAAAAAGTCGTGCAAGCATCATATCCGTACAAATCCGGACGCGAAACATCGCTATGCCGTCGTATGCAATAAACAATACACCGCCATGACCTCGATCGATGGCTGCTGGGAAGACCTATGCTCACTGTGGCGGCTGGTAGTTCAGTGGGCGCCTGTAGAGAAACAAGTCAGTCAGACCAGACAAGAACCATGTTTGACAAGTCAATGGACGACGTACTTGAATAGAAGAATGTGCGGCTCTGGCTCGTGGACCTCATAGTGCTCCCAACCAAGGCTCTGTCAACAGAATTAGTGTGACGACCCAGAATGCAGCAATTTGTGGGCGGAGCGCGTCAGGGCTGTCTATACCTGGGTTATGCCCATGGCTCGCCATTCATCTTCCCACAATAGCTTGAGGGTACCCTTGGAGCTGTCGTGGTACTCTTTCGGGATAGCCTTGAGCATGGCCTTTGGCAGCTGGACGTGTCTGTATTCGTACTCGTCGTCAGAGTATCTAGTGACGTGGGATACCATTAGACCAGCAAGTTAAGAGAAAGAAAAAAAAGGCTGGACAACAACGAACCGTGCCGAATAATGAATATCTTGGGCGAATTCTTTGAGACGCTCGTGCTCCTCGTCAGTCAAGGGCCGAGGCCTGATGTTGCGGCGCGTGTTGTCGATACCCATCTCCGAGTTCGACATTTCGACAGGGACAGCGGTAGTACCGTGTCGCTGTGCGAAGTGAAGGGTTGTGAGGCGAAGGGTGGAAATAGACGGTCTGGTCGCGCGAGCAGTGGAGATGCAGGAAGTATTTCCGGATCAGGATGATAAGGGCTCAAACGCGACAAGAGAGGGGATATCGAGGCCAGGGATGCCCAGTCGCTATCGATGGAGGTGGCCGGGTTGTGTAGAGGACGCGAAAACGAGAGGAGAGCGGGAGGAAGCCCGGGTTGTATCGAAGTCGAGCACGGAACTCAAGAAGACATGCAAAAAAGAGAGGGCGCAGAGAGAAAATTGTAGAACTGTAGAGATGGATCAGTCGGCGAGAACGGACTGGGACGAACCAGGGTTGATGAGGGGCATAGCAAAGCCGAGCGAGCGAAAAGGCGGGCAGCGGTGGTGGGCAAAGTAAACAAAAGCTCAGACCAGCCAGGCCGGTCTAAAAGTTTACGCGAGGCTCTAAAATGAAGTCACAAGGGGGCCCGGCCACGGGGACGCAGCATGCCCTGTGGCGCCTGGGCCGCCTGGGGCGCGTCTATGAGATGGGGCTCGGTGCTGAGGTGGTTTTGCCGCCTACCAGTCCCAGGTACTTCACTACCTACCTAGGTACCTAACTCCAGGGCTTCCAAGAAGGTTCCTATTGACGGAGACTCTGGACTGCTTGTCACATGACTCCGATCCAAATTCACAATGCATTGTATTTCCAGCATAACCCAGACCTTGAATAGAAAGAATTATTGGCAATCAAAATGAATGCAGTCCTTTTTCGGTTCTATTGTCAGTCCAAGTTGTCCTAGAGTTGGCCATATGCTATGTAGGTACTAAGCCCGTAAGTAGCCAGTGAGGCACCGAGTAAAGGACCTCCATAGCGCATAGAGAATTGGGTAACTAAGGTACCGTGCTTTACGATTCTGGAGGAGTGGCCGTGCACGGGCCACACAGCGTCGGTTTTCGTGTCATTTTTTGCGACAGGTGAACTGCACGCAACACCAGCTGGGGAGAGCGAGCCATCACCAACGCGTCCTGTCGAACCTCCACAGCTCCAAGCTCCCCCCCTGTGTTCGCAACCGGCATTGACTCTCGTGCACAGCTCGCACGATACTCCTATGTGCATGGTCATCTTGCGCCAACTTTAACGATCGATTTCCATTCGCGCAACATGGACCACAAGCGCAAAGCGAATGGCGCAACTGCCCCAGGAGGCGCCGAGACTGACGACCGTGCCGCCAAGCGTCGAAAGGCTTCTGCTGTAAGTTGTTTTGTTTGCGATCGAAATACTGCTGTGCAATGCGATTGTGTTTGGAGGTTGGTTTAGATGCAGGCTTGGGGGATTTTATCGTTCGCGCCGCGGCGCTTCTGGCACTGCAGGGTTGATGCGGAGGCGGGCACGGCGGGCAAGGCCACCACCGACCCTCAGTCCGTCTCTACCGCGAGCATCTCGCCAGGTCAATCTCTCCGCATCTGCTCCAATTCTCCCTCCAACACACTTCGCATTCGAGAGCCCCTTGCCGCGATCCCGTGTCACCCGATTTGCTAACGACAACCCCCTCTGCGCGCAGGACTTTGACCTCTTGAAAGGGGAGACAAAGGAGTCGACAACGCAATATGGATTCGCTTTCCTCGAGCAGATGCGTCGGACTACTGACAAGAGGTACGGCTTCCCACAGCCATGCGCCAATATGCAATACTCGACAATCAAGTTGTTGGATCATTGCAATTGAACTGCATGCCGTCAACTCCTTCACCTGGCTGGCGGCTTGCGAGTGCGCAACGGCATGCTGGCTCCATCACCACTCATGCTGACATTGTTTGCGATATTAGTGGCCGCCTCATCGCGACATATTTCGAAAAGCTCCTGCCGAAGGAAGAGAACAAGGAATATTACAAGCAGATCCGCATGCCAATCTCGTTGGAACTCATCGAGCGCAAGTTGAATGATCATGAGTTCTCCAACTTGTCCGAACTGGAGAGCTATGTCAAGCGTATGATCCAGAACGCAAAAGACTTCTACGACAAGAAGACCGAGGTGTACGATGACGCCGAGCGCGTGAGGAAGACGCTGAGTAATTTCATGACCAAGAACAACCCGGCGTATAAGCTGGTATCGGGATACAGCGCGGTGCCCACCCCAATTCCGGAAGAGCTCGAGGCAGAGTCAGATGCCGAGGCTGACGGCGAGGACGAAGCCGCCGAAGAAGATGCCGAAGCTGAAGAGGACGATGCACAGGAGGAAGCTGCTGAGGCGGAGGAGGAGGAGGATGCAGAGGCAGAGAGCGAAGAAGACGTGGGGCGAGGCGCGTCAAGGAGAAGACGAGCCAGCCGCCAGTCTGCGCGATCTCCCAAGAAACCTGCCGCACCAGCTCCGAGAGCCGCCGACAGGGCCAACGTCAAGCCAGACCATCAGTACGAAGACGTGCCGTACAAGGGCCTGTCGTTCCAAGAAGCCCAAGAGAAGATCGTGGAAGAGCTGATCCGCAGGCCGGACGAAGAGTATGTATTCTTGCCTCTTTCCTGTTTTAATAAGTTGACGCGCTAATTTATGTTAGGGACGATACATACGTGTACTTTGAGCCTTTCCTCAATCTACCACCCCGCAGCTTGAAGGACTACTACCAGGTCATCAAAGAGCCTCTCTCCTTGCGAAAGCTACAGAAGCTGGTCAAGGGCATTCACGGCCGCGGCGAGAAGAGTGGTGTGTCAGACTACAAGACGTGGGCGGCTTTTGAAGAGGCTTCCAGCCTTTTGTGGCAGAATGCCTATTACTACAACGAAGATGGCAGTGAGATCGCGAACATGGCCAAGGAGCTTGAGGTGAGCTAATTCGACTCCTCCGGCTCCCAGTACCCAAGCTAATTAGCCCAGGAATACTTCTATGACCAGCTGAATGAGGCCAAGGCGGTTGTGCCCGAGCCTGTTCAGCCCAAGATCAAGATCAAGTCATCGACCAGCGCCCAGGACACACCGCCGGCAGCTCTGCCGAGGAGAATCACGATCCATGTTGCGAACACCCGGGGAAGCTCTGCCGAGTCTCCGGCCCCCGCCACGGGCAGTGGGTCAGTTGCTTCAGAAGCAGGTGCCAATGGTGTCCGCGCCCCTTCTGTCGGTCAAGGGACCGTGCCTCCATCGGGGCACGACAAGGCTCGCAGCGTCTCGATCACGGGAGCGTCACCGAGTCCTTCAGTGGCAATGAAACCCGAAGATTCAAGGCAATCACCAGCAGTCAATGGTGTAGCGCAAACTCCGAACGGCCAGGCTCCGGCTAGCCAAGCAGCTCCAGGAGCCCCGACACCGAATGGACATCCTCCTGTGCCGGTCAATCTCGGGCCGGCTTACGATACTAAATTCCGCCTTCCAGGAAAAGGTACGTCAACAGGATTTCTTTCCTGCAGACAGGCTGCATGGGCATCCTCGTCTTGTGTCTAGTTCCTAACAGCATCATTAGGTGTTGCAGATGCCTTGATCACCAACCTCGTCTTGAGAACCAACCCCAGCATCCCTGTGGAACGGAGATTCCACCTCCAGATCCCTGCTCATCCCAAGGAAGCCCAACAGTCTCTGACTGTGAATGTGCCACCTAACCACTGGAAGATGCAGATCATTCCCACGATTGCCGGGTCCCTGGAGCAGAACCGCGCGTACAAGTTGTATGTGATTGTTAACGGCATCGTCCTACCACGCGGGATCCCGGTGCCCAACGACCCGATCGAGCCTGGCGCGCAGCTGTTCGAGGGCCAGCTGGTTCCGGGCGTCAACACCATCCAGGTGCAGATCATCGCAGCAGTGCCCAAGGGGGAGAAGCTGCCGAACGGATCCGACGTTGAGCTCGAGAAGTTTACGATTCTTGCAAACATGTTGAGATACTAGATTGGCATCCGGCTCCATGTTTATAGCGGAGGACTATGGGAATTGGGGGGGGGTTTATAATTATATAGGGGAGTCTGGCGCCTGGTCTTGTTAGAGGAAGACCGTCACTGCAGTCGAGCAAAATTGGCAGCGCTGTACAACAACAAAGTTTGGAAGGATATATCAAGTCTTGACAGATTGGAGGCCGGCGAGCTCGATGTGGATTTGTTTGAGCGGAATTATATCATAGGGATCAGCTTCAATTTATAATCTTGAGACAAAAAGAGCGATAGGAAAACAGAGAAACGAAAAAAAAAGCGTCACCCCTTGGTCAAGATTCAAGAATGGTGAACACTCTAGCTTTGACTTTTGCCGTCTGGAACAATTGTGAACATCTTCCTGTCTACGCCCAGCCAGTCAGGCCCTCACTGTGTCCCGCTTTTAATATTCTGTTGGAGATCATAAGAAACTCTCCCGTGCAGCAGCGGGCCATGACGGCCTGCTTTCTTGCCCGTGTGAGCCAACCGTCTCGAGCCTCGATCGAGCATTTTGGACGGGACCGACGACAATGCGAGTGTCACCACCAGAGACAAAAGCCCCCCCCCCCCCCCTGAAGCTAAGCGAATCTGTCTGTAGGCGCGTCTGTTGCGACCCCCTGATTGTCCAAACCTGCATACTGGATCCCTGTTGACCCCTTACCCAGTCACTGCCAGTCCAGCACCCCGGGAAGGCATGCGACCTCATCCCAGGGTTCCATGGCGATGGAGTCTGGACCTTTTTTTGGCATCCAGGGCAAAGAGAAGGCTTTGGATTTGCAGATGCATGCATTGTCTGTCCAGTCTCCTCATGTCTCCTTGAATACGGAGGTTGCAGGTAAAAGTTTTCTCCCCCGTGCCAGGTATTTTTCATTTCGACCAGGGCCCCTGCCGACACCGTGACCTGATAGACAATGATCCGAGATGTCGAATTTATGTACCTGACAAGAGGGCGAAAACTTTAACCAGCTTTTTTAAAAAGAAAAGGTACGAGGGTTGCAAGGACTAACTCAACTACAAGTAGAGGTACCCATCACACCTCCGTAAAAGGGTCAATCCGAAACCACATCACGGCCCTTTGAAAAGAATGCCTTGTCTTGCCCAGGAGCCCAGGAGCCAACTGCAAGTGTTTTTTTTTGGCGGTGATGATCCATTCCCGCCTCCAGTACTTTACCTTGTTGTTAAAGTTGAGTTCGGAGTAAAAGGTTTGGTACAAGCACCTTGTGTACGGAGTAGGTACCTCACAAGCACCTGGGGAATCGAGATGGCCCTTTCTTGGTCGGTACCTGACGCTACCCGTTAACGCATTTGGCAGTGCAGCATTTATTAAGCGGGTATCTGTGCCGAGACCCATCCATCACTCGAAGGATGCGGGTTGTGCCTGTACTTGTACCTGCATCTCGACCGACCGCTGCAATCGACAAACGAATCCACAGCTTGGTGAAATAACGGGAGGCGGGAGGCGGCGACAATGCTGTACAAGCGCACCTCAAACAAGTACTCGGTAGATCTTCTAGCTACAGGGCGACAGAGAGCCATGGTTTGCCTGGATGGACACCAGGAGAGCCGCCAAAGAGCTCCAGGGCTCCAGGGCTGCTGCTTTGATACAATAGTTCCTGTGCAGTAGCGTCGCTCTTGGAGGCGGGTGGGCTGTCGGGTGGGCACATGGGCGGGCCCTGATACGGGGCGCGTGGCAGCAGCAGGTACCACCATCGCCATTGAGACCGTCCGTCCCTAGTCCTGACCAGGCTAGGCTACACGGGGCTGATGCGCCACGAGTTTGCAACAAGAATGGTGCCTCGAAGGGGAGTGGACTGCGAGCTGGAGGTAACGTGGGAAGTTGAAGAAAGACCTGAAAAAGGAGAGAGGCGGATTGGGGGGGAAGAGAGAGAGAGAGACAGAGAGAGAGAGAGAGAGAGAGAGACAGAGAGAGTGTGTGTCAAAGCAGGTACCTTAGGTAGGTAGGTAAAATAGTGACTTGATCCGTCGAATGCCTCAAGCTCTACCTACAAGTAGTTACCTCCCTTCCCTGCCTCGCTCTTGCCTGCTACTCTTCTGATCCCTGGCTGTAGCTCATTAAACTTAGCGGCGCCAATTCAACATCGTCCCCTTTTGGCAATCTACAACCTTCAGGAAGGGAACCTCCCCCCCTGTCCGCTCGTTTGGTCCCCTTCCCAAACTACCCTACCTATCTACCTAACCCTCTTTATCCTTTTTCTCCTCCATCCTCTCGTCTCCTCTCCTTTGCCTCCTCCTCCGCCTCGCTACCCCGATCCCTCCTAATCTTCCTTTTACCAGGAGATACTCCTACCTTGTCTCTCGCTTTCTCTCGCAGACACACACTCTCTCCTCCTTTTCTTCTTTTCGCTCGCTCGCTCGCCTTTCTATCACACTCTCTCTTTCAACCTCCATACCGCTCTCTCTCGAGCCTTTCTCTTCTTGGACTTGTTTAAACTACTACCCTGCAAAAGCTCGTACTTCTTCGACACGCCCCTATTCTCGCGCCTTTCAGCAATACAAGCTTCTTTCAGCCCACATTCTTTGCCCAGAATATACAATTCTTAATAGCCAAGGCCAGCTTGCCCAGCAGCTCTCTCATACAGTCGAGACCGACCGCGTGTGGACGACCCGGACCGCATTCTCGCGTTCTCGACCCGTGCTGGAGCTCTAGTTGCATCCACCCTTCAAGTTGCCGATTTTGGGTTCTTTGTTCTCTTGCCAGACCAAAGAAAATCCGCAACCGATACATATTGATCACATCGAACAATACGGCCGGTTTCCCCAAGGTTCAGATAGCAGCCACACAGTCTGTCTCTGCCAAGATCGAGTCTCGACCTCTGACTCCCTGCGCCAATACCTAGTGTATTCTTGGCCGCAACAGTCGAGAAACCAACCTTCACTTCTTGGAAAGGCATATTTTCTTGAGATACCCGCCAGTGCTTGATCCTAAGTACCCATACATTCCAACGCGTCTTCTCGCTTAACGCTCCCGTGCCTGCTCAGGGGCACGTTTAATCTGTCAAAACGGCTGTCCTATCTCACGTCGCAAGGGACAACCTTGTCCCTCCGCATCTACTCGGGATGCAAGATCTTTCGGGCGCCGGTCAGTCTGGTCCAAACGCCGGTCCCGTCGGCCGCTATCCGGGCCATGCCTCCAAGCCCTCCAACAGCGACACTGGCTTCTCCCACGGCGCCTTCACCTCGAACGTCTCTGGCTTCGCTGACAGACACCCTCGCCGCGGAAATATCCCTTCGATCAACACGCAGCCGCTGTCCCAGCAAGCCCCGCCCTCGAATGCTGCAGACATGACCAGCCCAGGCACAGCCTTCGACATGCAGTTCACCCCTCTGCTTCCCTCCCAGCTACTCCTCGGCAGTCCTTTCCAGCCTGGCACTCCTGCGGCCTTCGCGAACTCGCAATTCCAGGGTCAGCTCGGCTATCAGCAGGGCCAGCAGCAGAACAACCCGCAACAGCAGAGCGGCATGCAGAGCCCCATCCAGCAGAACATGTCTCCTCAGGCCTACCAGGCCATCGTGTCGCCCTCGACCTACGGTGCCCCCCAGTTCTATTCGCCACAGTCGCCCACGGGCGCCTACAATAACTTGAATGGCCAACTGCAGATGCAGATGCAGCCAACTTCGCCTGTGTCCCTGGGTGCTCCAGGCATGGTCAGCGGCACTAGCCGCACGGTGTACCTGGGCAACATCCCCCCAGACACATCGGCTGAAGAGATCCTTGGTCACGTTCGCAGCGGCCAGATCGAGTCGGTGCGCCTGCTGCCCGACAAGAACTGCGCCTTCATCTCCTTCTTGGACGCCAGCTCCGCTACTCATTTCCACTCTGATGCCATCTTGAAAAAGCTCTGCATCAAAGGCCAGGATATCAAGATTGGCTGGGGCAAGCCGTCGCAGGTTCCGACATCGGTCGCTGTTGCCGTTCAGCAGTCGGGCGCATCTCGCAACGTGTATTTGGGCAACCTGCCCGAAGATATTACAGACGAGGAGCTCCGTGAGGATTTGGGCAAGTTCGGTGCCATTGACACGGTCAAGATTGTTCGCGAGAAGAACATTGCCTTTGTTCATTTCTTGTCGATCGCCAACGCCATCAAGGCTGTCTCTCAGCTGCCCCAGGAGGCCAAGTGGCAGACGCCTCGTCGCGTCTACTACGGCAAGGACCGATGTGCCTATGTTTCCAAGACGCAGCAGCAGAATGCAGCACAATATCTTGGTATTGCTCCGGGATATGCCCATATGCTGACCGGTGCGGATCGCGATCTCATTTCCAATGCCCTCGCCCAGCAGTCCGTCGCGGCCGCTGCAGTTGCCACGACCGCGGGTGGCATCAACAACTTGGGCAACCGGACCATCTACCTGGGCAACATCCATCCCGAGACCACAATCGAGGAAATTTGCAATGTCGTCCGTGGTGGCCTCCTGCATCACATCCGATACATTCCCGACAAGCACATCTGCTTTGTCACTTTCATCGATCCGACTGCGGCAGCTTCCTTCTACGCTCTGAGCAACCTCCAGGGTCTCATGATCCACAACAGGCGGCTCAAGATTGGCTGGGGAAAGCACTCCGGTGCTCTGCCTCCCGCGATCGCCCTCGCTGTCAGCGGCGGAGCCTCCCGAAATGTTTATATCGGAAACCTGGATGAGACGTGGACCGAGGAGAGGCTCAGGCAAGACTTCTCCGAGTTCGGCGAGATTGAGCTGGTCAACACGCTGCGCGAGAAGAGCTGCGCCTTCGTGAATTTTACCAACATCGCCAATGCTATCAAGGCTATCGAGGCCATCCGCAGCAAGGATGAGTACAAGAAGTTCAAGGTCAACTTTGGCAAGGACCGCTGCGGGAACCCGCCTCGTCAGCTCCAACAGTCTCAGCAGTCACCTCGCGGCGAGGTCCCATCGCCTCCACCAAACGGTTCTTCGCAAAACGGGGGCTCGCCAACCAACGCGACTGCGCCCAGCCAGGGCAGCTTCAACGCAAACAGCAACCCTCTGACAATGTACCTGAACCATGTCTCCCAACAGGCCCAGCAGCAGCAACAGCATCAGCAGCAAGCTCTTGTTGTCCAACAGCAAGCTCTGTTTGGTACCGCGGCCTCGTCGCCCAATGACATCACCCTCGAGGTTCCTCAGGGTCCGATCTCGGGACACCAGCAGTCCGCCAGCATCTCCAATGGCTATGTGACGAACGGCCCTCCTTCTTCGGGCTCTACCACTATCGGAGGGCTTTTGGCTCCAGGTAATCCAAGAGGCTCACACAACCGAGCGGTGAGTCTACCTGTTCTGGCCCCCGGCTTCGAGAACGGTGGTACCAGCCCCAACAACATCCCCGGCAACCCGGCCAACAATGACGGCGAGCGTCGCGGCCATCAATACCAGTCGAGCTTTGGCGGCATGGGTAACGGCTTCGGACTTGCGATCCAAGGCGGCCTCAATGGCTGGGTCGAGGAAGAGGTTGCGAATTAAAAAAAAAACACAAAAAATATATATGGCTTGATGTGCTCGGAACCGACAAAGAACACACAAACTCGATTAATTCTACATAATCCTGGTTGGTCGGTCCGTCTGGCTTTTTCTCTTTTTTGGATCCGCTGTCTATCCTTGCATTTTGATATAATAATCAGAGCTTTCTATGTATCTGCTTCAACTTTTTTTTATCACACCTTTTCGCAAAGAGCTTTGTTTTTGCTCTGGACCATTTGTCCCGCCAGGACACGACAGCCGGGTTACGATGGTGTTCATTGAGAAGCATGGAGCCGCACTGCAACTTGACCGGTCTGCTACCTATAGGGGTGGCCCCGGAGCGGATCTTGAAGGACGTGGTGATGCGAGAGACGAGGAGACTGTGGGCAGAGATGCGGTACAAGAGTTGGAAATGAAAGGGGAAAAATGAGTATCACAGGATGTGGTGGAAAGGGCCATATTTTGGATGGACAATTCGAAGCACGACATGGAATCTATTTGCATGTATGTCTATACGGAGCGTGGGTATCGAGAATTAGTAGCACTCCCCCAAATATACACGATCATTGTGTGTACCTTTTTCATCACATTCCTCCAAACTTGATCCTGCCACCGGCGTTTGTATGCACAGACAGGCCTATCTTTTGCTCATCGTAAAGGGTCTAGAGTGACAAGCACATCCTCTAGCGACTCGGAAAGACCTCGCTCTCCAACGGCATCAACCCTGGCCCTGAGCTGAGCCGCAATGCCGAGGACCGCGCTGATGGACTGGACGTATCTCCTCCTCATGCCCTCGTGTGCGCGGACCAGCAGGGCCGTCACGAGTTGCAGCACCGCCACGTAGAAGTCGAGCAGAACCGTGGGCTGGCCGTGACTGCTGCCGGCGCCCGCCACGTCGTCGGGGACGTGCCAGCCCGCCACCAGCGTCACGAGGTCCATCCACTCCTCGCGCGTGCCGGGCTGCTCGGCCTCGACGATGGGCATGAGCACCCGCACGATCTCGATGCCGCGCGCGGCCTCACCCTCGGCGGCGGCCGCGGCAGCGACGGTAGGAGCGTCCTCGAGGATGGACAGCATGTCGCGCGTGAGGACGGACCAGCCGTCGTGGCCGAGCAGGGCCGCGACGCCCCCGTCGTCCGGGTCGTCGTCCTCGGCACCCGGGGCGGCGGTCATGCCCTCGAGCGCGACGAGGGCGGGGCGGCGGAAGTCGAGGGCCGGCGGCGGGGTCGCGCGGCAGCTCGCGCGGTAGAGGTCGAGGAGCATGTCGGTCAGGCCGCCGGCGGCCTCGCGGCGGAGGGTGTCGTTGTCGTCCTCGCGGAGCCAGAGGGCGGTGGCGCGGACGGCGGAGAGGACGAAGGGGTCGGCTGCGGCGGAGGAGGGCGTGGTCTTGGAGTCCCACGTCAGGGACGGGCTGGCGCCGGCACCGCCGGCGCGGGCCGACGGGTGCAGGCCCGGGGCACCGGCGACGGCGGCGTCGTACCGGTCGCGGAGGTGCTCTATGGTCAGGGAGATGGTCTCGGAGATGGACTTGCGGAGCTTGAGGAGCAGGTCTGGGGGCGGCATGCCGCTGAGTGCGGAAGAGGAGGAGGAGTCGCCATCGTCGATGGTTGCGGCGCGGACGAGGTAGCCGATGAAGGCGGACAGCGTGTCGAATGCGGAGGCCAGGCGGCGGGAGGTGGAAGGGTATTCTGGGCTGTTGAGCTTCTCCAACAGCGAGGGCAGGGATGACCGCAGGTCGATAAGCATGAGGTTCACGAGGAGATACGAGAATGGCTTGGCGTCTGGTGACCTGGGCGCAGAGGTGCGGCTGCTGTCTGAGAAGAGGAGAGTTGGGGCGGCGATGGGGTAGAGCTGCAGGAGGGCGGCGGCGAGGTTGGTGTAGGCTGCTCGCCCGGCCGGTGTTGGCCGGCTGATGACGAGGCTACGGATGAATGCGACAACCTGCGCGAGCCATTTGGGATTTTGCGGTATGAGCTGGGATATGCGATTAGATTAGCTTACAAGACAGATACACTCACCCGATGATCATGGGTGAGGCTTACCTGGGAGTCCAGATCACTCAGGACCTGGGCAAGGAACTCTAACAGGGTAACGCCGTCGGTTCCTTTGAAAGTTGCAACCAAAGACTGGATCGTTTGGTCGATCTTGGAGCGCATCCCAGCCATATCCTCACCGTTGGCCATGGCGTTGAGCCATGAGAAGGACAGGATGTCCAATGCCAACTTGTGGGACGGAGCAATTTCCGTGAGGGGGCTGAGATCATCTATTTTATTCAGGACAGCCGCCCCTTCGGGCTGGCTTACAAGAGTAGTGATTGTTTGCAGGATTAAATCAGTTGTTTCAGCCGAGCTGTCTTCCATGTTAGCAGAGGATCAAGAGACCGGGGCTTGAGGCAGTAAAGCCGGCCTGGCCATACCCACCTGTCAACTAGAGAAGCAACTAGCAAGGGAATCCTGCCGACTAGTTTCTGTTCCGATCTTTTACTCTCCGGGAGGAGAATAGTAAAGGTGTGTACGACAGCAACGGCCAAGTCCAGCATATCCTTGGCATCCTTCTGAGAATGGCTGGGAGCTGAGCCCGTCCGCAGTAGCCGATCTAGAAACTTTGGTGATATGCAGCCCCAGAGCTCAGATAACGCTGCCTCGTCCTCTCTCAGCTCCTTTGAGTTGTCCAGCACAGACTTGAGCAGGGCCAGTCCGACGAATCTTGAGGTATCATTTTTCGTCTTGAGCAATCCCTGAATCTTCTCGATTGAAATGTCTGAATTGCCAGTGGCTTCGGAAGCCTCTGGTTCCATGCCGAGATAATAACGTGATCTTGAATACTACCTAGGTAGTAGGTGAGACTCTTCTGTCCGGTAGTATTTGTGAGATGAGTTGTCGTAAGTGATGCTTTCACTATGTGATGTCGCAAATCTTCGATCAGTGAGTTCCTCTCTTCTAAGTGAGTGGGGACTGTAACGTGTGGGCGAATCAGCAGACGTCATCTCTAGTGAGGTTGGAATAGGCGTCAGTGTATGAGACAGTGTGACAAAACATTAATTAGTGCCTACGCTGGCTGATAAGAAACACCTATCAACGCCCCGAGTCGAGTCAAGCTGTGTGTCGCACCAGACAGAGTACAGGCAAAGCTCGCAACCAACAGGCACCGGGACAACTTGATTGACTGGTCAATGGACGAGGCGAAAGAGAAGGCAATGCGACTCTGGTGATTTGCGCACAACATGGACAGGACGCATGGCATGCCGCAGGGGGCGTCCAGCTCGGCATCCTCCTCGACAGCCTGGACCCCAAGCAGCCATGCCCCCAGCTCCTACGACCACGACGAGCGCGACTCAATAGATCTCCTCGGGGAACCCAACGATGCAGACGACGACATCTTTGGCGGCGACCCTCTCGCGGACGACCTGAACGAGCCCATGTCCTTCAAACGGAAACAGAAGCAGAGCGCCTTCTCGCAACCGGCACGTTTCCTCTCGTCGCTCACGGGCTCGCGCCCCGACCCAAGTCGCAATGGCTATTCTTCACCCGCGAGGAGCCAGGGGGCATCGGACGGGCCGCTGGAAGGGACACAGTCGCCAAGGAGACGCGGGCTCCATCCTGACCTCAACCCGGGGTCAAAGGATGGCATGCCGCTGGACTGGTACGTGGAGGGCCCCGGCCGGCGTGTCGGGTACGAGGACCTCACAGCCATCGACTGGATCTTCGAATACACAAAGGAGAGACAAAGGCTACGGGTGCTATATTCGAGTGCGACAGGCTTGGTTGGATACGTGCGCCAGCTCCTGGATTCTAGTCAGATCTGGGTAATCCTCGTTTTGACCGGCCTTGCAGTCGGTGCCTTGGCTGCCGCCATAGATATCACTACCAACTGGCTTGGAGACCTCAAGACGGGCTTCTGTCAGTCCGGACCTGACGGCGGAGCTTTCTATCTCAATCGGGACTTCTGCTGCTATGGGTATGACGAGGGTGCCAAATGTCTGGGCTGGAAGCCGTGGGCTGCGGCGGTTGGTGTCACTTCTGCTGGCGGAAAGTGGTTTGTAGAATATTTTTTCTTCCTCCTTTTTGCGGTAAGTCTCCCTTACAAGGCCACTGCCAATGATGCTACCTCTGACCCTCAAGTAGGTTACTCTTGCTCTATGCTCAGCGCTGCTGGTCAAGGAGTATGCATTCTATGCCAAGCATAGCGGTATCCCCGAGATCAAGACAGTGCTCGGCGGGTTTGTCATTAGAAGGTTCCTTGGCCTATGGACGCTCATAACGAAATCACTGGGTCTGGTAAGAAGAGCTATGCCGTTTTCCAAGATCGATATAATGCTGATGGAAAGCAGTGTCTGTCAGTGGGATCAGGCATGTGGCTGGGCAAGGAGGGCCCTTTGGTGCATGTTGCGTGTTGCTGCGCATATGTGTTGACAAAGTTGTTTCCTACCGTCAACGACAACGAGGGTGAGTTGTTCAGTCTCTTTTTTTTTTGTCTCACTTTCAGTGCTCTAACGCACACCAGCTCGGAAAAGAGAGGTCCTCTCAGCCGCTGCGTCGTCCGGCATCTCTGTGGCATTTGGCGCACCCATCGGAGGCGTCCTTTTCAGTCTGGAGGTAGGCACTTATCAACCCCTGCTACTACTCTGACAAGTTTCCATGTTGACCTGATGCAGCAACTCTCCTACTATTTCCCTGACAAGACTATGTGGCAAAGCTTCGTCTGCGCCATGACGGCTGCAGTCACACTACAAGCTTTTGACCCGTATAGATCAGGCAAGCTTGTCCTATACCAGGTGACATACAGCGTGGGTTGGCACGGCTTTGAGTTGGTCCCTTTCGTGCTGCTAGGCATACTAGGGGTAAGTCGCTGCGCTCTCTCACCTCATCAGCAGCCCTCCCTCGTTCTCGTTCTCGTTCTCATTCCCGAGAATATACTGACACGTCCCTCCAGGGAGTTTATGGGGGACTCTTCATCAAAGCCAACATGGCTGTTACGCGGTGGAAGAAAGCAACGCCTTGGTTGCCAGGGCCCCTGACCCAAGTGGCCATTGTCGCACTTCTGACCGCCCTAGCCAACTATCCAAACCTCTACATGAGAGCGCAGACTTCAGAACTGGTGTCCAATCTCTTCTCCGAGTGCTCCCAGCTCATCGACGACCAGTTTGGACTTTGCAAGACCGGTGCCGCATCAGCCGGTACCATACTGCTGCTGATCTTTGCTTCGATCCTGGGTTTCTTCCTTGCTGCCATCACCTTCGGTCTGCAGCTTCCTGCTGGCATCATCCTTCCCTCGATAGCAATCGGAGCGCTCTTCGGCCGAGCCGTCGGTATCGTCCTCGAGATCTGGCATCGCAACAGCGGCGGGGCCTTCCCCTTCGGCACATGCGAACCGGACATACCCTGCATCATCCCCGGAACATACGCCATCATTGGCGCCGCCGCGACGCTGGCCGGCGTCACGCGCATGACCGTCTCCATCGTAGTCATCATGTTCGAGCTTACGGGCGCCCTGACCTACGTCCTCCCCATCATGATCGCCGTCATGATAGCCAAGTGGGTCGGCGACGCCTTCTCCCGCAAGGGCATCTACGAGGCCTGGATCAACGTCAACGAGTACCCCTTCCTCAACAACTCCGAAGAGACCAACGCCCCAGACGTGCCCGCCTCGCAGATCATGACGCGCATCGAGGACCTCGTCGTCCTCACCGCCACGGGCCACACCATCGCCTCGCTGCAGGCCATCCTCGACGCCCACCCCTACCGGGGCTTCCCCGTCGTCTCGGACCCGCGCGACGCCGTGCTGCTCGGCTACATCTCGCGCGCCGAGCTGGCCTACAACCTGCACTCGTCGACGCAGCCGCCGCGGTCCCTGGGCCCCGACACCGAGGTCTTCTTCTCGCACCAGCCCATGGCCGACCCGCGCGCCACGCTCGACCTGCGGCCCTGGATGGACCAGACGCCCCTGACCCTGCCGGCCCGCTCCCGCCTGCACTTCGTCGTCTCCTACTTCCAGAAGCTCGGCCTGCGCTACGTCCTCTTCAGCGACCGCGGCGCCCTGCAGGGCCTGCTGACCAAGAAGGACGTGTCGTACGTGCTCAACGGCGCCGAGGAGACGCGGCGGACGAGCGGCGTCAGCGGAGCGGGGGCCTCGCGCGGAGATGCAAGGGGTTTTGCTGCAACGGCAGGATTGCACCAAGACTTGGATGGGGATGCCGAGGACCACGGGCTCTTGCACACCAGCGATAGCGCGAATGTGCCTCTCAGTCCAGCGGAACAGCGAGGCTCGATTCTGTAAGAGGAGGGGCACAGGTACGATAAAGGCAGGAGAACGCTTGACCTAGAGGATCTTGAAAACCTCTTGGTGTTCTTCATCATGAGATACATAGCTAGTCAGATGGTACCGGGTCAATATCAGGTGCATGAGTTCACGTAATGGACCCGGCAAGAGAAAACGCTTCGAGAACCGAGTTTCTTTTCAGTCACATGTTGTTACTGATCAACGCAAGGGTATTGCTCACCCCGACCAAATAATGCACATCCCGTCCGCCACAAGCAAATGACCTCCAGCCCTAGTTGCCCTCATCCTCTCTCGCAGCAGAACGCCAACGTCCGCTCTCAATACTCGAAATCGTCATCGACTGCAGGACCCTTGCTCTTGGTCACGCTCTCCTGCTTGCGGTACATCTCTGCGACCTGACGGCTGCTTGTTGCTTCGTCAGGCTTCTTGTCATCACGGATCTTGATGAAACGAGGGAATCGGAGGCTGATGCCCTTCTCGCCGCCTGGGTCCACACCCTCCTTGCAGCCGGCCTTGTAGCGCGGACTCAGCGTCAGGTCGGCTGTCCTGACTTCCCAGACATAACGGGGCTCGAACCAGACGTCAGGCTGGTGCTGGCCTCCAGAGCTATGCGAATAGAAGGGCTTGGGACGGTCAATGACGATCTCGCTCAGCTGCGAATGAAGTTCCTCGAGGACTGCCTCGGAGAAACCTGTACCGATGTTGCAAACCGTCTCATACGTGTCCGAATTAGGGTTGTAGCAAGCCAAGAGGAAGGCACCGTACACTGAGGTACGCTTGCCCTTGCCATAATACGCTCCGAGCACGACGAGGTCGAGAGAGTCACCCACGCCCGAGAGGTAATCCTTCTTGATCTGTGCACGAGTCGGATTAGTCTAGGTAGCTCGTAGCCAAGGCAAAAATGTCGACAAACCTTCAACCAGTTTCGGCTCCTCTTACTGGGTTCATACCCACTCTCCGCACCGTCAAGCATCTTGACCATTAATCCTTCGCAAGAAGCCTTGACACTCTCGTCAAGGAATGTCTGGATCTCCTCAAGTTCTTGGCCGTCCATGTGAGTTGCAAATGCGAATTCACCCAGTGTTGGTGTGAAGGATTGCATGAGTAGCTCGCGACGTTCTCGAAGCGGCTTCTCGACGATGGCTTCGCCATTGAGATAGAGCAAGTCAAAGGCAAACACACAGACCTTGACCTTGACATCTTCAATCTTGACATCCTTCTTCTTTCTGGTCATGAGCTGCTGGAATGGCAGCACCTTCTTCTCTGTCACATCCCATGCAACAGTCTCACAGTCGAGAACAAAACTCTTCGTGTCGTCTTTGACCCAAGTGTGAAGCTTGGCAAGGATGTCGGGGTATTTCTTAGACAAGTCTTCGGAATTTCTCGAGAAGATAGCTGCAACCCCCTTGGCAGCCTCCTTGTTCGAGTCAGGGAGAGCCTGGCTGAGTTCCTCATTCGCGTCCTTTGCGACATAATGAATCTGCGCTCGCTCACCATCGTACTTGTACTCGCACGTGAACGTCTGGTCTTCGAATCGGTCCAAAACCTCAGTGATGGCCTTGGTCGGTTTCGCCAACATAGGTTTGAGTGGAATGCCCGGCTGGAGGTTACAATTTTCCTTCAGGTGCATGATACCATGCTTCAGCATAGCCGGAATGATGATATCATAGCTCGGCAGCTCACTGTAATCAAAGTTAATACCGGTGTGTGCGGGTGCAAACCGAAAGTTATCTACATACCTGTAAACGGTCTTCAGCATAGCCTCAGCCTTCTCCACGTCGCAGGTGCTCGGAGTCCCGCCCTTGACCTGTGCCTCATGGGCGATGACGGCCTGGGCGAGCGAAACAAGCACTGTCTTCTCGGCAAGTCCCAGACGGAGCTTGCCTTCGAGGAAGCGTACCAGGTACTTGGCCTCGCTGGGGCCTCCCTTGTCCTTTGTGATGTCAACCTTGCCAGTGGAATTTGAGTCAGCGGCCGAGAGGAGCTTCTTGATAGCATCAACTTTTCTGCCTTGGGCACCGTTACCAGTGATCGTAGCAATGCCCATGAGGCCCTTATGGACGCCTCGCACCGTCAGAGGCCTGGGCTTAAACATTGTGGGCTGTGTTGACCTCGACTTCACGGCAACGAGGCCAAGATCACCAATCTCCTTCTGGTCTTGTTTGATCACAGCCAAGCTGCGACCTGTCGTCTCGCCAATAGCTTTCATGATGAGCGACTCGCCGATGCCGAGCTCAATGCCCGCATAGTCTGGTGCTAGTTTGTTGATCATAAGATTGACGGTGGAGAGAAGATCATCAGGCGTCAGCCTCATGACCTGTCGTAGGAAGAGCGAGCAATATTCCATAATTATCAGCCGCTTGGTTGTGAGCTCAACAAGAGAGAATGTTTTGCAGAGTGCCGCATAAGGCACAGGCTCACCAGCCTTCCAGTCTGGGTAGGCGTCCTTGTTGCTTGTCTTCAGGAATGTCTGAACCGTTTTCCGCGCCTTGGCTGCGACTTCGGGCTTCTCGTCCTCCTCATCAATCTCTTCTTCTGCTTCAGACGATGACGCTATCGCAGCTTCCTCTTTGTCCTCCTCTTCCTCCTCTTTCTTCACTTGCGACTTTTTCTTCTGGACTAGCGCGGCAGGAGATTTGGTTATCGATTTTGCTCCGGTGGGCTCAGCCTTGACAGGAGCATCCTCCATCTCTTCATCGTCTTCATCGACTACCCGGCGGCCTCTGCGCGCTCGTTTCACAGGCGGCTCTTCTTCACCAGACCCTGCAACAGCGGCTTTGCTCTTGGGCGATCTTGACCTGGATCTCGATTTCGACCTTACTGGACTCGTCCGACGAGCGCGCTTTTTCGAGTCCGCTATGATAGGTGTTAGTGATTATGCATCTCGCGGCCCAAGCCGACGCACAAGGTCGTCTTACCTTTCTCTGGGGTGACATTCTCCTTGGAGCTTCCATCTGACCTCCTGGGCGATCTTGCCCTGGAGGACTCTGGTGCAGGCGCATCGGTTTGGGCTGGTGAAGAGCCTGTGCCCCCTGTCTTGGTAGCAAAAGACAGTTTGGTCTGCTGGGGTGGAGGCGGTTTCGCGCCGTTGGGCTGGCCAAAGAACTTGCTGTTCTACTTGTTAGTTGACGAGGACCAGGATATGCAACTGAAGATGCGACCCATTCATTTCTCGACAAGAAAACGGGATATCGTGCCAATAAAAACATAACATCATCGAGGGGTTGCACATGCCCCAAAGTCATCTGCCTGGGTTTGACATACCCCAAGGTGGCCTGTTTTGGAGCCATTCTGAGCAGCAGGCCGGGGGGTATACTGCTCGTCGCAATTCGTCTGCAGAAATGCTTGGAAGCCACGCTTGGTGGTCTGGGCAATGGGTGAGGAGGAGGCACTTGGGAAAGGCGCTGTTGTAAAGAGACGAGAGAAATAAAAGAGAAAGTAAAGGCAGAGACTGCGGGCAGTGAGCGAGGACGAGGAACAAATTGCATTGAACAATTGCTGTTTGCAGGCAGACAGACGCAATCGATGAATCAGTTGGTGGTGGCGCCTTCTCTCGAACTCTCTCTCAGCTCGACGCGTGCAAAGCAGGAACTGGACGTGGACCGCGTAAATGAGGGTCGCTTCCTCTCCAAATAGCCCGCTAGAAATGGCCTAATTGACGCGACCATCACGTGTCGCTAGGCTCCAGTGCGTAGTGTTGTCTGCGCCTGAAGCACGCTAATATTACAGGGTCTTGGCAGCCGACCCGGGTGGTCGTCAAGTCATTAAACACCAGGCCAATCTCACATCTCCCCAGACGGAGAACGCTACATTCAAGATTTATCCCGACTTGGATCGAGATTGAATTTGAACGCGAGCGAGCGAGGCTTCTGTGACAGGGTAAGGAGGCAGCAAATTTCTTAAGCTCCATGTCAAATTGACCGATGTTGTCGCATCGCAACACAAGTAGCGAGAAGGACATAAAGTAGTCAAGACAGTACAGAAGTAGCATCCACTTCCATGCACAACACTTTGTTGCTATTGATTTAAACCCGTTCCCTAAATCCTCTATTAGGCTAGTGTACATACGAGACGCGCCAGTTCTGTGGTCAAGCTAGGTATGTTGCAATGATGATTTTGACCGATTTTGATGATTATAGCGCATAGGGATGCCAGATCTCACCCGTCCCGCGCTCAGACTGTCTGTGGCCTGACAGATGTTTCGAAACTAAAGCAAGCTTAGTTGAAGTAGAAGTTCTCGTCGGGGGTCCGGCCTCGAATGAACTGGGGCTCCGACCCGCGGACATAGATGTCCTCGAACAGAATCTTGGGGACGGCCTCAGGGGCAGCCATAGCCTCAGCAGCAGCGACCTCCTCGTTGACGTGGTTTCGGGCTTCCTTGTCAATAGCCTTGAGCTCATCCTCCGTAACCACGGTCCAGTCGAGCATCTTCTGCTTCAGGCCGGCAATAGGGTCGTTGGTCGACCGCATGCGTTGGATCTCCTCGCGGGTTCGGTAGGTGGTACCAGGGTCGGACATGGAGTGACCACCATACCGATAGGTGACATACTCAAGGACGAGTGGGCCGTGGCCATTCTCAGTCCACTCCTTGCCGTACTTAACGGCAGCCTTGACAGCCAGGACATCCATACCGTTGACCTTGAGACCAGGGATGTACTGTCCTCGCTTGTAGTAGTCGGTCAACGCAGAAGACCTGGACGCGGCCGTACCCATACCGTACTTGTTGTCTAGTCGACCGGGTTAGTAACAAGGGGCAGACCAGATAATTCCGCTCAGAGTCAAGACTCACTCTCGCAGCCAAACAGAGCGGGGAGGCTCCAGAGCTTGGCCATGTTGAAGGCCTCGAAAACCTGGCCCTGGTTGCTGGCACCGTCACCGTAGAGGATGACAGCAGCCTTCTTGCTGCCAGTGTACTTGTGGGCGAAGGCCAGGCCAGCGCCGACGGGCACTTGGGCGCCGACAATGCCGTTACCTCCGTAGAAGCCCTTGGTGAACATGTGCATGGAGCCACCCTTGCCGTATGCAATACCCTCTCGGCGGCCCAGCAGCTCACCAATGATGGATCGGACGGTGCCACCACGCATCAGAGCGAAGCCGTGGCATCGGTAGGCAGTGATGAGCTCGTCGTCCTTGTTGATAGCGTGCTCGATACCGACAGCGACGGCCTCCTGACCGGTGGAAAGGTGGCAGAAACCCCGAATCTTCTTCTCCTTGTACAGTCTGTCCGCGGCCATCTCCATTTGACTAGGTCGCGTCAGTCCCCGGGCAACAAAGAATCCCAGGCGAATCCCCTAGGTGGTCTTACCGGATGACAACCATGTTGTAGTACATCTCCTTGAGCTCTTTCTTGCTCACCTCGATCGAGTACGCCGGAGGGTCGATCTCGTATGTCTCGAAGCTCTCATCGCTTAGGTTGACCGAGAACTTCTCCTCGTCGGACTACCAAGATCGTATCGCGTTAGAATCCATTGACCCAAACAGGCTATGACATCTGGTAGAACAAGTATTGAAGTGCATGCTTCGCACAAGGGCGAGCACCCATAAGAGAAAAAGACGCGAGGGTAGCGTTATCTCTCACTCACCTTGGGAATAGCGCTCTGTTCAACGTGGGAGGAGGCCGCATTGGTGGTGACAGTCCTCCGAGCAGCAAGAACGGGAACCGGTGCGCGAGCAGCGCGCAGAGGCACCGCGCGGCCGACCTTGAGAGCTCTTGAGAACATGGCGGCAATGCTCGATGACTGTGAAGGGATGCTGGTTTTCGGACACAAATCGGGGGGGAAGGGCTGGAAGACCAATAGGTAGTACTCCGGACCTCCCAAAATCAAAACTTTTGGCGTTGGGAATTGGCGCTCATGGAGCTTTGTTGAAAGACGCTAGTCCCAAGTGAGTATGGCGGCCTCCGTCACCTGACGGGAGCTCCTCTAAAACACGCTGAAAGAGCCCGAGTTCAAGGGATCTCTTGCTTATTTTCGGGGCGCAACACTGCGGACATCTCCCCGAGCCGTTTTGCGCCGAGCCTGACCGATCTTTGGCCTTTGCTGTGGACATTCTCTCTGACACAATCTGACAATGGAGCAAAGTATTGTAGGTAAAGTATGGAAGAGAAGGAAAGGCTCCGGGCTGGGAGAGCTCCGGTGAATTTCCTCAACCTTCTGGTCGCCGCCAGCATCCCAACTTAGAAGGACTCACAGCAAGACCATGCAAATGTCCCGACCAAGCATGAGCCAAGGTTAATTATATTTAGGTGTCATACACTACCCAACGTCTGGTGATCCGGCCAAGCTCCTGCTCCGACCTTACCAGACTCAAGCCATTGTTTGACGCCTCACTTTGAATACTAAAGAAAGGGCAGCCCTCAAATATGGCCTTTTCGACGCAGCTCGCCCGCCCAGCCACGCCTCCATGCAATAACGCCGTAGTTAAGTGGACGCCATGTAAGTCTTACTCTCATCTAAAGATCATAACCAAAAATGTACCTCCACGCCACAAATATGCCAAAGTAGTGATCCCGCTTGAATGAGAGAGGTATCTGTGACCCTCCTTAATGTGTGTCGTATTGCAAAGTGCCGCCCGTAAATGCGTGTATGCGCTTGTGAATTTTGCTTTGTGTTGCTGGCATAAGACAACCTGGTCTTTCAGACTGCTTGTGTTTGTCTTATCCATAGCGAGTGCAGTATCGACAACTGAAGTCTTAGTCGTCATGAAAAAAGGTCGCGTTACTGGACTGGAGAGGGGCGGTCGATGGCCCTACGTCCCTCATGTCGACATCTTGGCTTTCCGCATCAAGCCGTGAAAGCCCTGGAAGCCTAATCTGCGACCTCCTGAAATCTAGTGAGAGTGTATCCGAAGCATGATCAGAGACCTCTGTGGAGCCCTGAGCCAAAGAAATTGGCCTGTCATAGAGCATTTCTTCTGGCGGTGAGAATGACCAGACCTGGAAACGATCAGAATTACACTCATCCAAGATAATCAAAGACGATGAACTTACCTCCATGACTGTTCTGCCATTTCGTAGCGCCATTGCGACGCACTTCTCCTCCTCAAAAGCAACTCGCCACACGGCTTCCCCTTGGGCGATGAGTTCTCTAACGAGATGGCCCGTCTTGAGGTCCCACACTTTGACGCGCCCATCGCTGCCTCCACTCACAACTCGAGTATCATCAAACTGTAGGCTGGTGACGCTGTTGTCATGCGCGGCTAAGCGATGAATCGGAACGAACTTGGACAGTGACCAAACTCTGACAGATCCATCAGATCCGCCCGTCACGAGCGTATCTCCACGCATTTGTAGCTGGCCAACTAGCGAGGTGTGGCCCTGAAGAACAGCTTGGCATTCACTACAGCCAGTTAGTGAGCTGATAGGTCAGTGCTGATTGTTTGAGGAACATACCCAGTCATAGCATTCCATATCCGGACACTGGTGTCGAGGCTGCCAGTGGCCACTCTGGCACCGTCAAAAGCAATTGCGTATATCTGGCTGTAATGTCCTGACAGCGTGTGTAGGCATCGTCCTTCTGAGATACTCCATACTTTGGCTGTGGTGTCGTAGCTGCCCGAGACAACGATGTCGCCTTTGATTTCGAGACATCGGACGCTTGCCTGATGGCCGACAAGGACATTCCTACAGAGCCCTGATCGCACGTCCCATATCCTTAGCGTTGTGTCTCGGGAGCCAGAGATCGCAGTGTTCGAATCCGACATCTTGAGACATCTAACGGTGGATGTGTGGCCTCGTAGAGTGTGTTGGCAGTTCCTGGGGATGGGGTCAGCAGGGGCGTGTGACGATCCGCAAGGTGTGATGTAACGAGAACCTACCCAGTAGCCAGATCCCAGACTCGGACGTCGCGATCACACCCTCCGCTAACAAGCATATCTTCCCATGGCACCATCGCCCATACTCCCATCACATGTCCCTGAAGGGTTCGCTGCGCATTGCCCTCAGTATCAAACACGTGGATCTTGGCGTTATCCAGAGCCACGATGATGTACTTTGGAGTGAGGTGAAGACTCGTAACCACTCCCCCGTCCTGTGTAATATTCCGTGTTATGTTGCGTCCGCCCGTCCTCCAAGCGGCGTCGACGAGATATCGCTGTTTGAAGTGTGACTTGTAGGACTTGAGCTTCGGGCGCAAGCTCGAAGTCGTCGAGCCATCAAAACTCCGAGAGCTTGACATATGCATGGCGGCCTGAGGCAAGGCGCCGGGGAAGCTGTGGTTCGTGAAGTCACTGTCTGAAACGCTCAGTGGAAACGCGCCAGGGCGAACCGCATGTGATGCTGCCGCAGCCGACTGCACCTCCGATAGCCTCCGCTGATAGTCGTGTTTGACGCATAGGTTCTTCCAAGTCATATCATCACTTAGAAGATCTCGCCACCGCCGCGAGACCTGTGATGCACGGGCAAGCACCTTCGGGTCATCAATGAATGAGAGGATCTAGAGACTGCTGTTAATAAAGTCACACACGTAAAATGAACCTCGCTCCGACCTACTCTTAGACATAGCTCATCCGGGAGGCTCGTGAAGGGGTCCTTTTTCAGCAAAGGGCTGACAAACTGATGGACGAAGCTCAATTGCTGACTCGTGCACAGATTCAGGAGGTCGGCCAAGAGCCGTGTCCGTTGAGGAGCGGTACAGTTCTGAAAATGCTGGCGGATTTTGGCAAGGAAGAAATCTTCATCGTCGGCAGCATCGCTCCAATCCAGTTGAATATGTCCAGGTCCAGGTGACGCAGCTGGGGTTGGGGGGTGTGGTGGCGAGCCTGCCAACGCCTGCTCGAAGTTCTCGGCAGGAGTAGACATGCTCGGCGTGGGGGGGCCCCTTGGAGGTCGAGCTTGAGGCATCTTGACGCCGCTGGTGTGCAACGATAAGTCATCGCAGCCAAAGGTGCTGCCTCGCTTGTCCGAGAAGCTGAGTGGTCGCGGATATCCAGCCATGTTGCCAAACGACGGGTCCTAGAAGCACAATGACGAGAATCAAGGGCCTCAACCTTCGTGGAACGACGTCGAGCTTCCGTTTTCAAGACTCGTTGAGCACGAGTTGGCTTAGGGTGCGTGATTGATCGGCTGGTGGTAATGGCTTGTTCGGTCGAGGAGTCTCGCATTGGTTCATGAGATCATCTGGTGCAGCAGAGAACCTGGCCAAGGCAGAACTGTGAGGTAAGCAATAGGCCGCGTCTGGGCGAGAAGTGGTAACGCCTGGATATATAAATCGAGTCTGGAGGGCACTGAAGGGCGAGGGCCGGCGAGTCTGAGGCAGTGACTAGAGAAACGGTGACATAGTCGGGCGTCAACCGGTCCAGGCGGGTCAGGGTCGAACGGCTTTGAGATCGTGATGAAAGATTGCACCTGGATCACATGTAGACTGCCAGTGCGCGGCTTCCGACGAAGTAGACTATGAAGACGCCGAGTGAATGGAGGCCAGCGGCGTTGGGGGTCGGATCCTAAAAAGCTGGAAGTAGTATGCTTTTTGGAGGGTGGGAGGCAGGGAGGAGGAGTGCGGTCTAGAAAGCGCAGGGCGGTCCAAGGCTGGTCGAATGAGATGACGGGAGTTTTGGCGGAAGCCCCTGGTGGAGGCGGCGGCACGGCAAGGCATGTACCTATTTAGGTACCGCACTAGGAGTCAGGCCCAATGCAGCCCACAAATTCCACCATGCTGCGCGCTCCAGGTGCTGATGCGCCCCAGGAGGCCCTTACTCAGGTACTTAAAATACAAGTACCTACCAGAAAATAGCAGGGGGGTTCTGCACGAGATGGCCGAATCGACTCATGAGCCTCCACGCCTAGGGTCGAGTGGAGGTACCTGCGTTTCGTGTGTGGATGCATCTGCATCGTTGGCTTGGACCTCCATATTCCATTTGAAGAGTGCCATTCTCTCTCCTTGAATCAAGTCGGGACTCGAACTGTCGCTGGCATCGTAAACGGCCGCTATTGGCCTTGGCTACGTTAGGACGCAATGGATGCCAACCAAACCATTCTTCTGCAGCTGTGGTGCTCGAACAGCCGTGATCCGGCCTTCTCGTCTCTGGACAAGGAAAGGCACGTAAAGTCGGCACAAGATCACAATGACCCTTGCAATGTCTGGGTTACCCCTAAGGGAGTGGCCAATTATCGCCGATATGGGAGCAGATACAAAGATATAAGCCACTTAATGGGTGCGGGACGGCGCGAGGGTCGACAGCATTGTCGTCGAATCTCAAGAATGCCACAGCACATGGAGCCCGTGGGAAGGGGGCGCATGGATAATGGAATGAGGAGATTTCCCTCTCTTCCTTCACCTGCGTATTTTGGGTACGCAGGGATGATTTGCCATGAATTACAGGGTGTAAAGCCCGGGCCGCTAACCAGTCTTGCCGGTTTAACTATCTCAACCATGGATGCATCGACCTCCCTAAAGCTTGCTGGGGACGTTTCTTGCGACAGGTACGGAGTAGGTCACCGCTAGAAGTGCTTTCAGGATCTCCGTGAAGATCGATCTATCCGCAAGTAGTACCTAGGTACGTACCGACGACTAAGCGAGACAACTCAATCGAATATACATGTGAACACTGTTCTATCGACGGCGTTGCTGAAGTAAGGGAACTGCCTTTACATACTCCATCCACTCAAGGAATCCTAAGAAATCCCCAATTTTTATCCCGAAGTGCCGTGGCCGACTCTGACCAAGTCACTTTGCTTACCTACATTGATGTGCTCAACACAAGTACTCAGCCATGCTCTGGAATTTCACAACCCGCCTGCGCCGGTCACTGGGCAGAAATACCAGCCCAGCAAGCCGAGCTTATTCAGCGTGGAGTTCTTTGTTTAGCCTTCATGCAAGTGATGGATGGGGTTGAAGAGGAGATGCGGATGCGAGGCTTGGAACGCAATACCACTCGAGGATTTCTGATGTGCAACCCATTCGTAAAAGCCTCGAGACCACCACCAATAGTCTTGGAAATGCAGTATGCTTCCCAGCTCTCAGATAGGCAGGGTGTGGAACAGGCACTTCGAGGAATTACTTGACGCAGCGAGATCAACGTAAACTTGTCCAGATGCCAGAATTCACACTGACCAAGGCTCAGTGTAGCCTGTCACCGATACCGTGTCCCTAATGCAGATACTCTAGGTACCTTTCTGCAATACTTACCTCTTTCTGACTCTATGCCACATTGGTGGCAAACACTACGCGGTCCCGAAGAATACACCTCCGCAGCATTCCCCGCTCGGGCCTTCGTCGAAGCGCCACAGTGACCGGTGCCCAGCGCTTGTCTCTGCTATGGTCCGGCCCTTGTAGAAGCACGCAGGATGATGGAAGCCGTAGTGCCAATGTGTTGCATTTGGGAAGGCGACGGAAAGATGAATCTGACCACCCCAAGAGTCGCAAGCGCTGCCTCGGAAGGGAGGGTCATGAGGGGGGCGTCTTGCGACCGCCCCTGCAAGGTGATTTGTTGGCTACTTTGCGAGTTTGGCAATGCTTCACGCTTCCGGCACATATATTGCGGCTGAGCATGCGAGGACACAACCCCGGTCGTGTGACCGCCGTTCTCCGATGCCCCAATGGTTTCTTGACACTGAACTCCATGTTCCCTTCTAAGGAACATGACCACCCACTGCCAATGTCGACAAGAGTTTTCGGGTATCGTGAAATTCACAGGTGGTTGGTTGCAGCTCAACCTCATATCTGACCTCAAATGGCCACGCAAGGGAAAGATTCCACCAACCCATTCTCTGTCAATCTAGCCGCCTATTGCTCACAGTGAAGCACCACACTCCTTAGCGAAGCCACCTCTAACAGAGAGTTGAGGCTAAATAGTCCCGGCTTGTTTCAAAGCATCACAACCTGGGGGACCTCGCGCTTCTCAATCCGCTCTCAAAAAGGGGCATGTCGAGCCGGACAATTCTTTCGCTTGATAGTGTGCTCGGTCCGGGTTGATCAATGCTGTTGCTATTCCGCATTGCCGAACATAGCTACCTAAAGGCCCGGCTTTGGTATCATATCTCTATATCGTACAGAGCTCATTTGCGTGAAAACGGTGTGAAACCACCTAGACATGCGATTGCTGTTCAGCTGTACATGGTTCCCCCCCAGACTGAGTTTCCCTCGAGACCAGTTGAATAATAGAGATAATTTGGCACGCGATAGAGACATCAGTGGTGGTGGCCGAACTGCGTCAAAAGAGGCAGTAACATTCCCACGACCGTGGCCACTGTGTCTCTCATCTCTGGCCGAGCTTGTTTCCTCTGGGCCGTATGGCTGCCATCTGCATATCCATTGGCCCCGGGTTGGTGCTCGCCACCGTATGAATGGCCGTCCTCCTGCATGGCGTGCATGGCCACATAACTGTGAATGAAGTGAGCATTTCTTCATCGACAGCCCAAAGGGGGAACCTCTTACAGAAACGTGCCAGCCGAAAACAGTAAGAGCATCCCTGTCCACCACTGCCCGCTCTCACCCTCCATCTTCCCGCCGCCGAGGAGAGATACAAGAATGTATGTAGCTAGGGCTCCGAATGGAGCAGCCAAACTAAAGACGATGAGGTGGCCGCGGGCGGCGCGTTTTGACAGGCCTTGTTTTAGTAGGATAGATGTCAGGCCGAAAGCTGCTGGTGCTTTATGTATCATGATTGCGACGAAGATGATTAGCCCGAGCTTCATATCAGATGTAGTCGCCGATGCGCCCATCGCGATTCCATCGGCAGCTGCATGTATCACGAGACCAATGGTTGTGGCCAACCCCCTACTCTGCCTCGGACTTGGGGCGAGAGACTCGAGGAAACCTTCCGATTCTTCCTCCCCCGAGACGCTCGAGGATGCAAGGTTGTCGAGGCTGATATGCCGTGTTGCTGGCGCGGACTGAAACCTGTCTGTGGCATGTCGAGGTAGCCTGTCAATCAGGAACATCAAGACAAACCCCAAAGTCATGGAAAAGCCAATGAAGAAGGTGGGTAGGGTCTTTTCGTTCCCTTGCCCGTGCTCGTCGTGCGGCGCAGACTCTGGCTGTTTTGGTGTAGCTTCTGGCGATTGTTTGTCGTCCTTGGCCTCATCCCTCTTCACATCGCGTTTCTGAACTGGTATGGGAACAGATACAGTCCCCAATAGCTCGGAAAAGACGTCAGTGGTGGGACGGTTTGATCCTTCTGCCCTTTGCACGGGTGCCGCATCTTCCCACCCGACTGAAGCGGCTGTATCAACGGCCCACCGAATGGAAGGGCGCAAAGACCTGTGATAGTGCCTTTGACTGTGGCTATGTGAGGAGGACGTCGTAGTCGCAATGGCTTCAATGCCTTCCGGAATGATCACGATAAGGGATGTGCCGACTAGTATGCCGACGCCGATGCTCGAGATTAGGCGCAGTTGAGATTGCGACAAGGTCATTGACAAGGGAAGAGCACCGGCCAAGAATGAGCTGGAGGAGGGTCAGCGCGGTACATTCGAGCAAATGTTTGGTATCGGCTTCACATACGCCACCGCCATAACTAGCTGCACAGGAGAAAAAGTCAGCAAGGCGCGGAGCTCTAAGAGTGGGCTATGCGCAACATACGCAGAGGAGGAGTAGTAGTAATATACCCCCCATCGTGAAGGCTCTCGGAGGTTGGTGCACTTATAATTCTGCCATTCGCTTCTTTGTGAGCTCTTTCGATAAAAAATCGCCGCTCGAGGGCCCCGGGATGCAACGAGTTTGCCAGGTGCTGCTTGCGAATCGTCTCAATGGCGGGCGAGAGATTCCATCTGCGATGAAAGCTGTCACCTTGATAAACACTCGAGGGCAGCCCTACCTAGCAAGGGTATCGGAAGACGAAACCTTAGTCTTGGCAGCAGCCCTGGACTGTCATTTTTAGTGCACTTATCTAGTGGGTCACAGTCCTCTACTTGTCGTGGTCGATTCAGCTAGGGCCCGTGCTTTACCCATTAAACAGGCTCAAACTGCAAACGCGGTTTCCAATTCGCGGTAGCGCGTTCATTCTAGCTACCTACATTGACATCTAGAACTCTTCGCGAGAAGCTGGTCCGCAACCGAGCCGCTCATTAGAGACATCTCTTATCATCTCTTCACTTCCAATTTAGAGACCGCCCAGAGAGCGCAATATCCCCAGATTATTACCCAACAAAAGACGACACGATCTCTCTGTGGTGTTCCCTCGCTTGTCCAGCGGTAACATCACCACCAAGGCACCATGGCGCAAGCTGACGATACATGTTGGTCTTGCCCTCCGCCCGTGGATATTCACCAAGCTAACTCACTATAGGGTCGGCGAATGCGAACGATGCTTTTGAGATCAGCCTTGTCAAGCCTTCTTCCAGCGGTCTCAAGACTCTGGCCAAGTTCAATCCCAAATTCACGTATCCGATCTTTGGAGACGATGAAAGTATCTTTGGATACCAAGGTCTCAAGATCAACCTCCGGTACCACGCTAACGACATGCGCCCCAATCTTGACATCGCATACAACAAGAAATTCAAGGCGATTGGCGAAACAGAGGCGGCAGACATACACCAAATTCTCAAGGATTTTCTGCCAGAGGGTTCGTTCTTTCTCGATCCATCCTGTGTTGAGACATACTGACACAGGACTTGACCAGTGGCTTTCCAACGCGCTGCCGACTTCGAGAATGCAATCAAATCAGTCCCCAAAGACTGGGCGCCTCCGGGAACCCGCCTGAAGGACGTTGAGGCAACCGATGGGGAGTACTCAGTATGGTACGGCAGCCTGGCCGACCCCGCAATCAAACAGATGGTCCAGAGGATACAGATCCTTGTACCGCTGTTCATTGAAGGCGGGAGTTTTATTGGAACAGATGATTCGGATTCTGCCGATCGTTGGACCGTCTTCTTCATGTTCAGGAAGCGGCACGTACTCGGTGCTGATGACGAGTTCTCGTATGAATTCGTTGGATACTCGACTGTGTACCGATTCTTTCTTTACAGGCCTCATGCTGCTTCCAAAGAGGCCCCGACTCTGGACTTCGAGCTTCCGAAAGGCGACTTTTCTCTGGCGGAGTTGCCTTGCCGCACGCGCATTTCCCAATTCGTCATTTTGCCCCCCTTCCAAGGCAAAGGCAATGCCGCACGACTCTACAGCACTATCTTCACACACTATCTTGAGAATGCGCAGACAGTTGAGATTACTGTCGAGGACCCCAACGAGGCATTTGACGATCTGCGGGACCTGACCGATCTGGCCTTCCTGAGGCGAGATCCGGAGTTCAACCAAATCCGCATCGATACCAGCGTCAAGATTCCCAAGAAAGGACCCGCCCCTAGGACAATTGTAGATCCCTCCAAGCTGGAGACTCTCAGGCAGAGGACCAAGATTGCTCCTCGTCAATTTGCACGGGTCGTCGAAATGCAACTTCTGTCCAAACTTCCAGAAGCTGTGCGCCCCAGTCTCGAGCAAGAGCCGAGCAAGGAACAAGGCACTGCGGAACAACATCACGAGTATCAACTCTGGAGGCTGTGGGTCAAGCAACGAATCTACCGACAGAACAAAGAGATCCTCAGCCAACTTGATCGCAGCGAGCGGATAGACAAACTCGAAGAGACTCTGTCCAGTGTAGAGCTTGAATATCTACGATTGTTGGGGATGTTTGAGCACCGGGGTCGCCACGAGACCTCTGCGAATGGAAAGAGGAAGCTGGAAGTGAGAACCGAAGGCGGGAGCAGCAAGAAGGCTCGCCTCGAGGCGGCGTAGGGTCACTGATGGTTCTCTGAGGGCAAAGCACCAGAACCTCTGGTGCTGGTTTCCTTTTATTAACAGATTGAGGGAAAAGGGCCCACGGCGTTAACGGGGGGGATACACTTACCCAAGGGAAAGGAACAATGTATCAAACGGATGGGTATGCAAATGTGCTTTCAGAGCAAGTATCAAAATGAAACGGTGTATGTAGTACATTCAATTGCACTTGATGAACAGGGGACTCTCTTGTTGTATCATGCTTGACGTCAAAGTTTTGTACTATTGACATTCTGGGCAGCTTCACCTCGTTGGTTTGCAACAACGGTGCCATCTCTCACTTCGTATGCCACAGCCCCCCTAACACAGCTTTTCAACAGAAGAAAGAAGCCCCAATTGTTACAACAGCCGAGTCCGGGCCATTTCTAAATCAGCCTGGTTGCGCCTCGCAATGTCTGCGTCACTATTTTCAAGGCTACCTACCTACTGATCAATGTAATTCCCGAGCCATGGCTGTGGAAAGCAGCTACACCAAAGGTACTCTTCAAAATGCTTGACACGCATGTGTACGGTTATAAGACTGTCTGTACCCACGGCTCCATTGAAGCTCTCCAGCATAAACGGTTCACCAAATCTACCTACTAAGTAGTTAGGTATGCTATGTTCATTCTCTGTGGTTGTGGCCACTGGGTACTTTACTTGTGAGTACTGCCATGTCAAGTTGCTCAAAAGTGTGGTTCTTCGGGCTGTCCCACTTAAATGGTTGTAGCGTCTCCAGTTGGTACCTGCTTACGGAGGCCCATAGGGCAGACTGTGACAAAACCACTTTTTGATGTTTAGGTCCACCCTAATGTCATTTTATTTTCAGATTTCACACCACCACTAAGTCAGATTAGGATTAGTGTCTTCTTATCTCTTATCTTAGTCTATTTCTCTCCTAGCTAGTAATGTACCTATCTACTTCTGAGGGCCCCTCTTCTATAAAAAATCAAGACGGGGCCCTCGCGGCCAGGCCCCTTCTGCAAAAAATCAAGACGGGGCCCTCGCGGCCAGGCCCCTTCTGTAAAAAATCAAGACGGGGCCCTTGCGGCCAGGCCCCTTCTGCAAAAAATCAAGACGGGGCCTCACGGCCAGGCCCCTTCTGCAAAAAATCAAGATAGGGCTCTTATAGTCAGGCCTCTTCTATAAAAAATTAAGATAGAGCTCTTATAACTAGCTAGACCTCTTCTATAAAAATAAAGATAGAATTTTTATAAATATATTTATTTAATTTATAAAAGAGCTCTAGATAGGAGAGCTCTATATTTATAGAAGGGCCCTAGATGTAAGAGCCCTGTATTTACAGAAGGGCCCTAGGTGTAAGGGCCCTGTATTTACAGAAGGGCCCTAGGTGCAAGGGCCCTGTATTTACAGAAGGGCCCTAGGTGCAAGGGCCCTGTATTTACAGAAGGGCCCTAGGTGTAAGGGCCCTGTATTTACAGAAGGGCTCTAGGTGCAAGGACCCTTCTGTAATTATAGAAATATATAGAGAGATCTTGTAGGTACCTATAAGTATCTTATACCTGTATAGGTGGGTCCTAAATTGACTGGGAGTGTATTTTAAAATCAGTATGGGGTAGGGTTAGCTGGAAAAGTGGTTTTGTCACAGTCTGCCCTATGGGCCTCCGTACCTGCTCCCTGGCTGACGGCCCGACAGACATGGAGTGCAGGCAGCCTCTAGCTCATTCGTAGCATCCAGCACCAAGAGGATATCATCCACCTCACCCAACGTACAGGATCCGAGTCGTTCAAAATCGTAACTGTTGCCAGCCAGCAAACGCAACGAGCCCAAGATGGTGGACCCATTTGAAGTGCGCGTGCGCTTCAGCTCACAGCTTCAGAATCTGAATGCTTCCGTCACCTCAGCTCAAAAAGCTGCCGCCTACGCGATGAAGTACAAGGATATGGACGAGGACCTACACTCGTGCATTCTGGAACAGCTGGAGAAGGCAAGCTCATGAAAACCTCACATGTCTCTAAGCATTCACATGACTGGCGCTAATTCCAGACGACAGCCTCAAACTCCTGTGAACACACGGGCCAATATCATGTATTTCATCGAACATTTTCTTGAACATGCCAGCAAGAATGGACATGCCAATTATGTTCGTATGCTTCAACGCGACATTATCAGGGTTGTCGATGCTGTAGCACCCGAGGATGGCTCCGGCGCAGCGAACGTCAAAGTAGTCCGCAAGGTAATGTTGACTCACTGGGCGTCGCGGCATCGGCTCTGAACCGAACATTGACCCTCCCGGCTCACAGGTTCTCCATGGTCTGCAAAAGAAAGACTTTCTCGAGTCTCAGGCTGTCACTGAGATTGAGGAGGTTCTGAAAGAGCGGGAAGCCGCCCATGATATCAGCCTCTCGTCCCCCCCGAGTGGTGAGGGAGACATGGGCGATATGCCACCGTCGCAGACTATTCCCAAGGCTGGCCGCAGTCGGGTCAGTGCCCAAAAACTTGACAAGAAACAAATCGAGCAGCGTATCGAGGAGGACAGAGAGCGCCACAAGCGGCTGAGGGAAAATATCTGGGCTGTTCCGAGAGGTAGCGATGCCGAGATGTGGAAATTGTGGGATGAAACCAGTGACCTTGGCGAAGATGATCACATCATGGGACAAGAAGAGTTGATTGAGCGTGAGCGGTGTCTCCGGATGAGTTGCTCTCACCGCGAGACTGACCATGCGGCTAACGGGAGGCAATCGCACTGAGTTCCATTTGACGATATGTGGCTGTGAAGCCTACAATTGGGTTCTTCCCGCATGGAGAAGGGATCCATGCAGATTAGCTGGCGTTTCAAGGAGACGGTTTGGTTTCATAGTTTTGTTCCTAGATACCCATGAACGAGATCACTTGGCTGAAGCAGAGAAGGGCGTCGTCTCCTTCCGGACCCAGAGACTAAGTATACCAGAGAAGCAGAGCTTGTTGACATTATCAAGCGCGAAGGATAGAAGGAGTGCGATAATCCAAGTTCGGTTTATTGTTACAGATGCTTTGTACAGGCGGCGCAATATCACAGCTTATCGTGACACCTTAACCAAATATTGTGGCCCCTTTTCGCGACGATATCTTCGTCTACTCCATCTCGACAGTGGCGCCCAGCTCCTTGAGCGTCGCCATGATTTTCTCGGCCTCATCCTTCGGTACAGATTCCTTCATCATCTTGGGTGCGCTTTCAACGAACTTCTTCGAGTCGACCAAGCTCAATCCCAGCAGATTCTTGACCTCCTTGATGATCTTCGGCTTCGAGCCGGCGTCGAACTTGACCAGCTTGACGTTGAACAGAGTCTTCTCCGCGGCAGCAGGAGCAGCCTCTTCCTCGGCCTCCGCAGCCTGGGCGGCCGGCGCCGCCGGAGCTGCAGCCGCGGCGAAACCGCCAATGGGCATGTCGGGGATGTTCAGTCGTGACTGTGAACAAGGCGTTAGCGGCTCAAGCCTTGCAATGCCAAACGGCCACCAAGCCTATCAATCACGTACTTTTAGGCTCGATACCAGGTCTGCGGTCTCCAGAAGGGTCAATTGGCTGATCTGGTCGACGATGCCGGCGATCTTGGGGTTGATGGCCTCGGTCGAGTTGTTTCGGCGCGTTATCCTGTGTTGCACGAGAGCAGTCGAGGTGCGAACGGTCGTCGTCGCCCGCAGCTGACGGGCGCAGCATTGGGCTGCGTATCGGCAAGACAGAGACATCTTGACAGCTGGGCGCACTCTCAAACGATTAAAGGGCGATTGTCGAAGAAAAGCTGGGTTTTTGCAAAGCTCTCGTAAAGTCAGGCACATGAGGTTCCCACAGATTTTCTAGCTGGCGCCATAAAAGTATGCGGTGGAGCTCTTGATTGGGTCGGAGACTGGTGCCAGCCGTTTCCGATCTTATCAGCTTATCGATTGGCTCATGCTCAAAAAAAGTTCCTGCAAAAGTATCGCCGCCTATCTTGTACACTGATGAAAAGAGAACGAAGAAGACAAAAATCACGATCTGCACGCCGAATATGGCGACTTACGACGTGAGCCCGCAGAGGGAGTCTCTGCTGGGTGACGCGATCACATTGGGGCTTTTATCGCCCGAATTGCGTCACGTTGTAGAGGATACGCCTTCACCACACTTCCTCGAGGCCATAGCAGAGGCGGCTCTTGCGCCTCAACTTACAGAGCGCATTTTCGTCCACTTTGAGCCGGTCTTTGCAGATATCGCAGCACGATGGCTGCTCAACGCCCGCAAGAATGCCCGATTCGCGAGTATTCTTGCATCTTTCGCAAGGATATTGCCCTTCAGTCCAAATTTATCTCAACTACTCGAGAAATTCCTCATCGAAAGCAGCCCAGATAGTTTGCGGAAGTCTAGTCAATCCCGTGTACCGTCACTGGATCTGGCCGCGATGCAAACCGCATCCTCGGAACTTGACTTGACGAGCATACTGCTGGCCGTTTGGAGACTTGTATGTTTCGACCGACAAACATACTCTCAACTCGTCCCCGTCACACTTCAATCCCTGTTTCACCATCATAGTCATGTGGTGAGGTATCTTGCCATAAGGATATTTTGCCAGGTCTACGCCGCATCTGACTTCAAAATGGAACGCCTCATAGACACATTCATTCCGGAGAGGCAATCACTCATGGCAGACTTTGACAGCAGCCAGGTAGACTATACCTTTCTTTCCATTGCCGAACATAGGAGGGCCGACGACATGCACAAGTCTTTACTCAAAGCGAAGTCAACAACCCGGAAAATTGACTCATCAACGCGGCCATATCTGGTCACGCTCACCCCCCTTGCTGTTGCTTGGGGCCAAGCTGTTCTGCCGCGTGTTCAAAGTCCACTTAAGCAATCTACGCCCTTAGTGAAGACCACGACGACTCTGGAGAATCTTCAGAATCTTGCGAGCTTGTTACGAGGCTCGCATCCAATATTGCTTTACGGGCTTCCAGGTTCTGGGAAGACATCTCTCATCCAGGAAGCGGCCAGAGAGATGAGCATGGAGTCTGGTCTGGTTACCTTGCATCTGAATGAGCAGACAGACGCAAAGATGCTTATAGGGCTTTACACGACAGGGACGAAGCCAGGTTCCTTTGAATGGCGCTCCGGAATTTTGACGACAGCTGTGAGGGAAGGAAGATGGATCTTGATTGAGGATCTGGACAGAGCGCCAAACGAAGTTATGAGCACCCTTCTCCCTCTCATTGAGCGGCGCGAACTGCTCATCCCGACCCGTGGAGAGACTGTCAAAGCTCCGAGCAGTTTTCGAATTTTCGCGACTATCAGAAGCTCGTTAGGTCTGCATGGCCAGGAGGCGCCACCGAACTTCATGGGATCCCGATTTTGGCGCGTGTTGAACGTCAAGACATTGCCTCAGAAGGAGCTTCAGAGCATTGTCCAAGACACGTTCCCGTCGCTCAGCAGATTTGTCCCGGGAATCCTCGCTGTCTTTGATCAATTGCTACGGCTGGCACAAAGCCCTGCATCGCTTGGCCTTGGACGCGGTGTTGCGGAACGTCCTCCCAGCTCAAGAGATCTTTTGAAGTGGTGCAGACGCCTTGACCAGCTCTTTGCCGCAGCTGGCCTTGTGGTTGATAGTCCTATCAACGATACCATCATCGATCAAATGTTTCTCGAAGCAGTCGATTGCTTTGTTGGGAGCGCCAAAGAAGAACGCGTTCGAGAGGTTCTGGTCCGCAAGATCGGGCAGGAGATGAGGATATCACCTGAAAGGGTCGACTACTTCCTCACAAGCCATGTGCCTCGTCTAGAGGAAAACGAGAGACAGATCGTTGTAGGTCGAACAACGCTGTTGAAAACACGACGGCAATCCCGCGTGACGAAATCAAGAAGACCTTTTGCAACCACCACGCACGCCAAGCGCCTGTTGGAGCAGATCGCGGTAGCTGTCAAGGTCAAGGAACCCGTCTTGCTGGTGGGTGAGACTGGCATAGGAAAGACGACAGTTGTGCAGCAGTTGGCCGAGTCTCTTGGCCACAAGCTTGTTGCTGTCAACCTTTCTCAGCAGAGCGAAGTCGGTGATCTACTCGGTGGCTTCAAGCCCGTAAACGTACGAAGCCTAGCAATGCCGCTCAAGGAGGAATTTGACGATCTGTTTCTTGCAACTGGCATCTCCAGGGACAGAAATGAACGGTATCTTGAACGAATCGACAAGAGCCTCGCAAGAGGGAAGTGGGCCGATCTTGCCAAGCTGTGGCGGCAGGCGCCAAAGATGTTTGAACAGATTTTGCAACAACTCGAGAATAAACAGGAACGAGACCGGGCAAATCAGATGAAGGACGGCCAGCCAGCAAAGCGCCGCAAGACTGAATCATCACGCCTCCAGTCTCTTCAAGACCTCAAGCCAAGGTGGAATGCATTCGCTCAGAACCTGGAGCAGTTTGAGATTCAACTATCTGGTGGTTCAGGAGGGTTTGCTTTTGCCTTTGTGGAAGGCAAAATCGTGAAAGCAGTTCGTAACGGTGATTGGGTCCTTCTGGATGAGATCAATCTGGCATCCCCTGATACTCTGGAAGCCATTGCAGACTTGTTGCAATCAGACCCAAACGAAACGCCTTCTATCCTTCTTTCAGAAACCGGTGAGATAGAGAGAATCAAGGCCCATCCCGAATTTCGAATCTTCGGGGCGATGAACCCAGCCACCGATGTTGGCAAACGCGATTTGCCAATTGGGTTGAGATCTCGATTTACTGAGCTATACGTCTCCAGTCCCGATAAGGATGTCAAAGATCTCGTTGTCATTATCAAGACATACCTCAAAAGCAACAGCAGCACTGTTGACCGAGCTGCAGATCGGGTGGCTCATTTGTACCTGGCGATCAAACGTTTGGCTGAGCAGAAGGGCTTAGTGGATGGAGCAAACGAAGTGCCTCATTTCAGTCTCCGGACCCTGACACGAGTTTTGACCTATGTCAATGATGTGGCTGCCTTCTATGGTCTCGACAGGGCATTATACGAAGGTTTCTGCATGGGGTTTCTCACCCTGCTCAGCCAACAGTCGGAGAACATCGTCATGCCTCTGATCCTTGATCATCTCTTCGAGAAGAATCTGAATCGGACAAGAAGCCTCCTTCGTCAGACCCCGAAATATCCCACTGACGGGCGTGAATATGTTCGGTTCATGGATAAGGACAAGGAGCGCCAGTATTGGATTCTGAAAGGTGCTTTGGATCCTCAAGAGCGAGTTGATTACATCCGGACACCCTATGTCGAACGTAATCTTCTTAATCTTGTCCGGGCCACTTCAACCCGTCGTTTCCCTATCCTGATCCAAGGGCCAACTTCGGCAGGTAAAACTAGCATGATTGAATATCTGGCAAACTTCAGCGGTAACAAGTTCGTGCGAATCAACAACCACGAACACACTGATCTTCAGGAGTATCTCGGCACCTATGCATCTGGTCCTGACGGCAAACTGAAGTTTCAGGAAGGAGTGTTAGTGCAAGCAATGCGACAAGGACACTGGATCGTCCTAGACGAGCTCAACCTCGCACCTACTGACGTGCTCGAAGCACTCAATCGACTTCTCGATGACAACCGAGAGCTTCTGATCCCAGAAACTCAAGAGATCGTGCGACCCCATGAGAGTTTCATGCTTTTCGCTACGCAAAACCCTCCTGGTCTCTACGGAGGCCGAAAAGTTCTCAGTCGAGCGTTCCGAAATCGATTCCTGGAATTGCATTTCGACGACATTCCGGAGAGTGAGCTCGGCTACATTCTGCAGAAGAGATGTAGAAACACTGCTCCTTCTGACTGCGAGAGGATTGTGAATGTCTACAAGGAACTGTCGCGCCTGCGACAGACCAGTCGAGTTTTTGAGCAAAAGGACAGTTTTGCCACGTTGCGTGATCTCTTTCGCTGGGCTCTGCGCGAGGCAAACAATCGGGATGAAATAGCCGTCAATGGCTTCATGCTTCTCGCCGAGAGAGTGCGGAATGAGGAAGAGAGCAACGCCGTGAAAGAAGTCATCGAGACGGTGTTCAAGACCAAGATCGATACTGCTGCGTTATATGACGCCAGTTCATCACCAGAGCTCAATCATTTCCATGACAAGGTCAACAGTCAAGGCGTTGTGTGGACGGCGGCGATGCGTAGACTCTACGTCCTGCTTGCCCATGCTATCCGAAATAACGAACCAGTACTTCTTGTGGGCGACACAGGTAGTGGCAAGACCACAGTCTGCCAGCTTCTCGCCGAAGCGAGCGAGAAGGAACTACATATTGTCAATGCTCACCAAAACACGGAAACCGGAGATCTGATTGGATCTCAACGGCCAGTCCGGAATAGGGGTGCTATCCTTGATCAGCTGAGGCGGGATCTCGCAGAGGCCTTTCAAGCCCTGTCTTTGCCAGGCGAAGGTTCTCTTGATGAACTCTTGCACGAATTCGCGGCTCTCGACCCAACTAAAAAGGATCATCTCCCTAGTGGCTTGATCGTCAAGATTGAACAAAACCACGCAAAAAGCAAGGCCCTCTTCGAATGGTCGGACGGCAGCCTTGTCCACGCTATGAAGACCGGCCAGTTCTTCCTTCTCGACGAGATATCTCTGGCAGATGATTCTGTGCTGGAACGACTGAACTCTGTCCTGGAACCACAGCGCACGCTTTTACTAGCCGAAAAAGGACTGGGAGACCCTGTGGTCCAGGCCGCTGAAGGTTTCCAATTCTTCGCGACAATGAACCCTGGTGGTGACTTTGGCAAAAAGGAGCTGTCGCCCGCCCTGCGAAATCGATTTACCGAGATCTGGGTGCCACCATTGACGAGCAAAAAGGATATTTTGGACATCGTCTCTTCGAAGTTGTCTCCCAAATGCAGGGGTTTGTCTAACATTGTCGTTGACTTTTCGTACTGGTTCGGTGACAACTTTCGGTCCTCATCGGCAGCCGCTTTCTCCATCCGTGATATTCTGGTCTGGATCAAATTCATCAACCAATGCGGTTCTCGGAATCCGATGCTGGCTTTGTTGCATGGTGCTGCGACTGTCTTCATCGACACGCTAGGCGCAAACCCGTCAGCTATGATAGCCATTGATCCTAAGTCAACGAGGGCGCAGAGGCGCCAATGCCTCGACAAACTGGGCGAGCTCGCCGGAGTTGCGGCTGACTTTGGTCCAATGTACGAGGTCGAGCCAACTCTCCTCCTGAGCGACGAGTTCCTCTCGATTGGAGATTTCAGCGTTCCGAGAGTCTCCGACATCGAACTAGACTCCGGATTCGAGTTTGCAGCACCCACTACCAAGATGAATGCAATGAGGGTTGTACGCGCCTTGCAGATGGACAAGCCGATTCTCCTTGAGGGTAATCCTGGAGTTGGAAAGACGACACTTGTGAGCGCCATTGCTCGCGCCTGCGGTCAACCCTTGACGCGAATCAATCTCTCTGATCAAACCGACCTCATGGATCTGTTTGGTACAGATATCCCTGTTGAAGGTGCAGAGGCGGGCAATTTTGCGTGGCGAGATGCACCCTTCCTACAAGCCATGCAGAAAGGCGAATGGGTACTCCTGGACGAGATGAACTTGGCTTCTCAGTCTGTATTGGAAGGCCTGAACGCGTGTTTGGACCACCGTGGCGAGGTTTACATCTCGGAGCTGGACCAGGTTTTCAAGCGTCACCCCAACTTCCGGCTCTTCGCCGCTCAGAATCCTCATCATCAGGGCGGTGGGAGAAAAGGGTTGCCTTCCTCCTTCGTCAATCGATTTATTGTAGTGTATGCAGATGTCTTCACCGAAGAAGACCAGCTATGCATTGCGCAGAAGCGAGCACAACACCTCTCGCCAGAGACAGTACGTCAGATCATCACGTTCATCTCAGCCCTTGAACACGAGATAGTCGTCGACAGGTCATTCGGCTCCCAAGGTTCCCCATGGGAGTTCAATCTGCGAGATACCCTGCGATGGCTCGAGCTGGCGGCTTCCGGTGGTCCCTTGATCAGCCACGCCGAAGTCCAGGACTTCTTGGATATTATCGTGCGACAGCGGTTCCGCACCAAGTATGACAGGGACCAAGTTGTGGGCATTTTCGAACGCTCATTCAAGAAGAGTTACGTTGAGCACAGTCTCTATCACAATCTGAGCTCTGTGATCTCACAGGTTGGATTTGGGTTGCTGGAACGAAACTCACTAGCACAGCCAACTGATTTTCCAAACATCGATGTGATCCCGAGGTTGGCAGAGATTGAGTCGCTTATGATCTGCATTCAGGAAAACCTACCCTGCATATTGGTAGGGCCCTCGGGCAGTGGCAAGTCGGCGCTTCTCAACCATGTTGCTGCACTCGCTGGCCGCAAACTGGTTGTCTTTCCGCTCAACGCCGATGTCGACACTATGGACTTGGTGGGTGGTTTCGAGCAGGCCGACCCGCTACGAGAAGTTTACGCCTGCCTCATTCGACTTCGAGAAGCACTTTGCTCCCATGCCATGAGTCTGCTTCCTAAGACGGCGCCTGAGGAGATCTTCAATCTCATTAGGCTCCTGGAGGTTTCCAGCGATGACTCCGGCGTCCTGGAGGCCATCACGCAAAGCATTGAGAAAGTTGTACCTCAGATCCCCTCGACAGCGCAGGTAGCGGGTTGCCTAGAAGCAGCTTATGGTCTTTTGCAGAAGTCTCTGGTCCTCCTCAATCCTCGCTTTGAGTGGTTGGACGGTGTCATTGTCCGCGCGCTAGAAGCAGGCGATTGGCTTGTTCTGGACAATGCCAACCTGTGCAGTGCCTCTGTCTTGGACCGTCTCAACTCTCTTTTGGAGCGTCCAGACGGTTTCCTAAGTATCAACGAGCACAGCGGACCCAACGGCGAGCCCCGCATCGTCAAACCGCATCCCGAGTTCCGTATATTCTTGACCATGGATCCTCGATACGGCGACCTTTCCAGGGCAATGCGGAACCGCTCAATCGAGATCTATATTGATCAGCCTCCAGACCATGTCGATGAGTACAAGTCCATGATCACGAGAATAGAAGCAAGGATGGCCAGGTTCCAGACTGCCATTACCTTGTCGAAGACTGATTGCCCTGAGACTTCTGAATTGGTTAAACTAGCCCTCGATGATCTGTCTGTTGCGGACACTCAGCTTCTTGAACGATTCTCGATGGCTGTTGCGGGACCTCGCGATACTGAGTCCCAGCAGTCACACATGTATGAGGCTCTTGGAGCGCTGGCTTCGTATCTCCACTCACCGGATGCTTTGCAAATCCGACAGGCCATAGGGCAACTGCTTCAGACCGGATCGGAAGACCTGTGCACCTCCCTTGTCAATATGCGGTACTCAACTCCAAGCCCCAGTGCTGCTCGTCACATAACACCGAAGAGCCTGGCGACGGTACAACCACTCCACCCTCTGCATAACTCTCCCCTCATCAAATCAATCCTCAAATCATCATCTGATTCTGTCCAATGGTTGGGAACAGCGTATGACTACTACTTCGAATTGGTAGCTTCTCACCAGGCATTTGAGAGCCAGGTCAAGAGCTTGAATATTGCCCGGCCGTCCTTGTTGAATAGGCTGCAGAGATCAAGCATCGCAGACAAAGTGGCAACGGTCTTGGCAGACTCGACAGCCTCGGCTTCCGCTTTCCTCACGTCTATTCTTCAGGACATTCATAATTTCCTCACCCTGAATCTTGGCCGAATGGTGGGTGGCTCGAAAGCACGTCTCCTGATCAGGCTTGTGCTTCACTACTGGTGGAGAACTTACCAGCTGCTGGTCGATTTGCATTTCGATGAAGTCAGATTCCAGGCTCATCTTAAACAAGGCGTGGAAGTTTTCGAAGACATCATCTCCCGAGTCACCGAGCCGGAAACTTGTCAGTTTGCACAAACAGTCATTCGTCGGGTGCTCCACGACTTCACGGCTGGTTTCACCCTGACAACGGGACTCAGCATGGAGCTCCTCTGGCTACTTGCCAGACCCCATCCAATTGAAGATGCTGGATCTCTACGCCAGATCACCGACCTTGAGCGGCTTGCCACGCGATTTGACAATCTAAGGTGGCGAGCTGATACCCCCTTCCCTGAGCTCACGAAAATTGTGATCGCTTTGGCCGATTCATACGGTGCTATCAGGAGTGAACATGTCAACGCAGATGATCTGCTGGAGACCCTCGCTACTGAGATTGTCAGCCTGGAGAAACGTATGGAGGAGCGCAACTTGTATGTCAGGCCGTATTTCGCCGAACAATTCGAGAGTCTAAGACAGACTCTGGTGTTGAGGGACATCTCCTGCCAGTCGCAACCAGCTGAGAGCATGGCTGACCTCGCTGTACTTTCGGATCTGCCAACTTTAAGTGTCATGCGGGAACGGAGTGCGACCGGCTTCGCATCTCGCTTGCAAGGCTTGGACAATCTGCTGTACCAAGAGACTACCGTTCATCCGTGGACTGGGACGGTGATTTCAGACCTGTTGCACAAATTCGACTCAATGTCGCAAGCAAGGCTCTCTGCCTTACGATCTCTCGAGTCGGAGTTGCCAACTCTGGGCAAAATCCTGGCTCGGTCATCTGAGCCGCTCGCGACGGATCATCTCCAGGAATTGAATCAAATCCTGTGGCAAATGCTACATGATGTTATCGTTTCGCATGAATCGTCTCTAGGATCACAATTGTCTTCCACATTTGAAGCGATGACAAGACACGTTCAAGAGCATGGTGTGGAGATCACAGAAGAAGGACTAGTGACGGGCATTCAAGTTCACTTTTCCTCCTGGCATGCTTCGTATCCTCAACACCTTGTCAAGATGATGGAGGCTCACTTCTCCACTGCTTTGCTTGCTCTAGCAGCGTCAAAGTGTGGCAAACAGCCGAGAGCCTCGTTTACAGCCATCGCCTGGGTACAATTCGCGCTTGGTGCCATCAAGCTGTACACCCCTGATAAAGTCTTCGATCCACACCTCAAAAGCCAGATGGAGCGGGATTTCCATTCAACCTTGCGCGAAGATCTAGCTCGAAAACTTTCTGTTCTCTCCAATTTCGAAGAGCGTCAGACTGGGCAAAGCTCGAATGTTAGATGTGCTCTTGTTCAGGAGGAACTGTCAGAGCTGGGACGCGGGCCCGATGACATTCCGGTCTTGATCCATCGCCCGTCCAGCAATGACCTTGTCAGGATACAGAAAGAGTTGTTCAATCCAGTCCTTGATACAATTGCGAAGGAAAATGTATCATCGACACACTTCTCGGCTGTCTCATCCTCAGAGGAAACAAAGGACCAAGAAATCCAACTCCTTCAGGACAATGTGTCACGGCTCATTCAGCGATTGTCCGGCCAATTCACAGCCTACCAGGATATCACCGTCCCTCTTGCCAATCTACTTCGGTGCCTTCAGCTCGGCTTGTCATTGACTACCAACCGTCAACGGTGCATTCAACCTAAAGACAATGACTTGTCCGCCTTGCTTGCTGTCACACCATTTTTCGGTGGTGGAAGTATACTCTGCCAGGGCGAGAAATCTCTTCCTTCTCGCCGATTTGAGTTCCTCTCCTACGTCAGCACGCGCCGCGCCATTGAGGGTGATCTCTCGCTATCACCTACCCTTCGTCAATCAGTGCTTGGATGTTTCCACTTCTTCTACGAAGAATGGAGCAGGAAGCTAGATGCAGACCGCAAGGCGGAAGAGAGCAAGAACAGCCTCTATCACTTCCGTGGTAGCATCGAGGATGAAGAGGAGATCGATGCGAAGGAGTTCAATGACCTTTTCCCGGTCTTTACGACAGATGATTCCGATGGTACACCTGCAGCCCAATCGGCACGGCACCAACTTGAGAGTGTTCGCGATCTATCGATCAGACTTTCCAAGGTCCATAAGCATATTGTCTCCGTTTCCCAGGAGAGTCAACACGCTCTGAAGAAATTTCTGATCCAGATTGGGCAACAAGTAGGTCAGGATGCTGAGAGTTTTACTCTTGATGCTGGGAACCACTTGGACAATGTGTTACTGCCCATTGCGCTACTCAACTTGCAAGAGAAAATTGGACAATTCGAGGCGGACGAAGCAGCCATCTCTAGCTTCTACGCCAGCTCAAACTTACCGGAAGTTCGAAAGTTGGTAGCCCTTGTCTATGACATCAGATCACACTTCGGAAGACTGCAACAAGTGGATGAAATCGGCCATCTTCAGCCTATCGCTGATGTTCTGGGAGCCTGCGATGTGATCTTGGAGCTTGGACACTCAAAATCACTGGCCGAGATCATTCCACGGTTGGAGAGACTACACGGCTTCCTTTACGAGTGGCAGTTTGGCGGCTATGCCAGCAGACAATACATCAATCCCACGCTCTATGATCGAGCCACCAGTATGATCGTGGCGTGGCGCCGCCTAGAATTGGCTACCTGGGACAAACTATTTGATATGGAGGTGCAAAAGTGTGAGGAAGACGCGAACTCTTGGTGGTTCATTGCGTATCAAGCTGTCATCGCTGGGCCCTTGGCTCTTTTGGAGGCTGGCCAAGACCTCAGGAAGCACACAAGCCTTCTACTCGAAGAGCTGCAGGCATATTTCGTGAACTCAATGATTGGCCAGTTCAAGGCTCGCCTTGACTTGCTGAGACAAATGCAGAAGCATTTGGACATGGTTGTCTCTGACTACCCTGCTATGAGTGTCGTTCGAAACGCCCTGCATAACTTCATCGCCTTTTACGAGCGGTTCGATACCAAGGTTTCCGAAGCTATCAACAAAGGCAGAGAGCCTCTCCAGAAGAAAATGAAGGAAATCCTGCTCCTCGCAAGCTGGAAGGATACGAACATAGCTGCGCTCCGGGAGAGTGCGGTCAAATCCCACCAAAAGCTTTTCAGACTGGTTCGCAAGTTTCGCTCTGTCCTCGGCCAACCTGCGAGTCAAGTCATAGCCCAAGGACTTCCGGATTCAGGTCCTAGCGAATCATCACCAGACAACAGCAATGCCATCGCCGTTGACATCGGCGAGAAAGCAGCGATTGCTTGCCAGCGAATGATTCCCGATTGGGGAGATGATTCACAGACTCGGCGCCTGATGAATGTTGGAAAGCTTGTTCGAACTATGGCAAAGACTGGCCGGCTTCCCGAGTCGGCTCTCCAGGCGGTTTCTATCGTGGATACATTTGTGCAGGACCTTCTTTCATCAGCAGCTGAGCTAAGGAAAGAGACTCCTGGAATCCTGACAGAGGAGAACAAGGATATCGTGAAGCACATCAAGACCCGAAAGGTCAAGCTGTTCAGTGATACACTCAAGGACGTGCGGCAGATGGGCTTCAACCGCAACCTAGCGGAAAACACGCTCATGGCCCAGAAGTCGCTTGCTGAGATCTTTGCACGATCAGAGGTATTGGCGACTCCAGAGACATCGCACGCACAGAACCTGGACTACCACTTTCATAAGCTGCTGGACCTTGCTCCGCGCTTCCGAGAGGCTCGTTTCGAACACCACAGCGATCTCAGCCATGACACAGTTCAAAGGAGCACCGGATACCTTGAAGGTATCCTGCTCGTCGTCCGACAACAGCGTCAGATCCTTTGCACGTCGTTTCAATCCTTAGCTTCACTGCAGAACTCAGTCTCGTTCGTCAGGAATCTTGCCACATCGGAGACAAGTGGGTCAATCCGGCTCAAACGTGAAGTCTCCAATTCTTCTCAGGTCTTATCATGGCTCTACGAGACTGTACAGCTCGCAGCCGAGCTGATCAGTATTCATGGTCGCCTTGGCAAGATCGATAACAAACCTGTCATGGACTATCTCAATGCCACTGCTGGAAGACTCGATGCATTCCGCACTAGACAGAAGTCTCTGACAATTCTACCCGATGCATTCACTAGCACGGGCATCCTGCAGCTTGAGGACGAGATCCAACAGGAATTCCAGCTACTACAAGACAGCCTTGAGATGTTTTGTAACGAGCGTCCAGACCTGAGCTTCATCCTCCAACAAGTCAGCCGGTGGACCTTAATTACGACCTCTGATATCGACCGCCCATACCAAGTCTCGTTGAACAGCTTGAATTCTGAAGTGGTCAATGCCTCAAGATTGGTACTAAGTGCGATTCAACACTTCAGCAAGGAAGCAGCGGCATTGCCAACGTCTACTGAGGATGCCTCGTGGCTTGTTAGATACACCGACTCCCTCTCGACAGCTATCAAGTCACTTCATATCAACACCATTCAGAAAGCCGTGAGCGAATGCCTCACGTCTCTTGCGACCTTGAAGGAAACAACTGGGGATGTTGGTCTGGTGGCCCAAGCTCTTCTCGGAGTCCTTCTCCCCGTCCTCCAGCAGTATATGGCACTGTGCCAGGAGTCTGTTTCTCAACTGGCCTCCTTGTATCAGTCAATGAGCAAGATGGCATACCACCTGAGCAAGTCATTCACGGACATTGCTCGTGAAGGCTTCTGTACGCCCCAGGAGAAATCCGATGAAAAATCAGGAGAAGGCGGAAATCTGGAAAGCGGTACTGGGCTTGGAGATGGTGAAGGCGCTGAAGACATCAGCAAGGACATTCAGCCTGACGAGGATCTCTCTGAACTCGCTCAGGAGCCCGGTAGAGATTCAAAAGGGGATATCGAGGACGAAAAAGACGCCGTTGATATGGGCGACGAGGAAATGGAGGGAGAGATGGGCAGTGCGGGCGCTCCTGAGGATGACGAGGAGAAGACTGGCTCAGGAGATGAAGATGAGCCGGAAGAGATGGATGAAGAGGCTGGTGAGGTTGATGACTTGGACCCCACCGCCGTTGATGAGAAGATGTGGGATGGAGAGGATGAGGAAGAGGCAGACAAGGATCAACAAGGAAACGCACCCAAAGGCCAAGAGAAGGATGGTGAACCTGAAGCTGTGGACGACACCTCCAAGAGGGATGAGAAGGTCCAGCAAGACGGCGAGAATGAGCAGGGCGAGCCCGAGATGGACGAAGAAGTTGGACCCGAGCAAGAGGAGGTCATGCCTCAGGACGAACTGAACAGGCAAGACCAAAATGTTCAAGAGCAAGAGACGCTCGCGTTGCCCGACGACATGGATATTGATGCTAAGGACGATGGCGAATCATCAGGAGCAGAAGATGATTTGGATGATCTATCGACAGATGGTGGGAAAGATGAGGAGGACTTGGAAGTGCACGAGTCGGAGGCCGAAGATGGCGAGGGCCAGCAAGATGAGGCTCAACAACTACAAGAAGTTGAGTCTGTGGCCGACACTGCTGAAGCCGACCAGGAACCCCCCGAGGAAGTGGAAATGGAGGTTGACAAGCAAGATGAGGAAGGTCACGGGCCCGAAGAGGAAGTCGAGGAGAAAGAAAATCCGCTACTGGAATCGGCTCCCGAGAAGGTCGAGGAGAACAACAAGGATGCTGCGCCAAGTGATGTGCGCACTGGTGGGGGACAGGACCAAGAAGATGCGCAAGGCGTCGAGGACAACGAACCTCAGGATAATGCCGCACAACGGGAACAAGGAGAAATGGGCGAGAATGCTGTCGAGGAGGACGCCGCCACTGGTAATAAAGGGCGCAGCTCAAAGATGGACGGGGAGCCGCCGGAAGGATCAGAACAGCAAGAAGAGGATGCTACGGAGAGTCAACCGTTCCGGAAGCTAGGTGATGTCCTCGAGCAATGGTACAGAAACCAGCAAGACATCAAGGCCGCTCAACCGGAGGAAGACCGTGGCCAGCCGGATAAGAACGAGCAAGAGATGGCTATGCAAGAGTTTCAACATCTACAGGATGAGAATGCCCCTGCAGACACTCAAGCTCTTGGAACTGCTACCGAGGATGAGGTCAAACCGATCGACGATTCCATGGCGATCGACAATGACATGGAGCAGGCGAACAACATGGTCCCCGTCGAAGACGATGAAGAGGCCGAAGAGCCTGAGAAGGTTGACAACACCGACGGGATGGACACAGCAGAGGCTGAGCAGCAGGAGAAAGATGAAGGTCGCTCGGGCGTCGCGACAAGACAAGGTGCCTATAATAGAGAGGACTCGCTGTCGCCCTCCCCTGAAGAGATGACTCCAATCGACGACGCTGAGGATCAAGATGTCCAGGAGACATCTACAGCCCTCTCCACGACGCACATCACGGACACCGGGCGACAGTTGCGGGACTTCTCCGAATCCTTGCAGCAGTGGACCGAGTTCCAGACCAAGACTCATTCCCTCTCTCTTTCCCTTACCTCCCAGCTCAGACTGATCCTGACACCGTCTCAATCCACTAAGCTCTCTGGGTCATACCGGACCGGCAAGCGACTCAACATCAAGAAGATCATTCCGTACATCGCCTCAAGCTACAAGCGCGACAAGATCTGGATGCGACGCAGCATACCGACCAAGCGCGCCTATCAGATCCTGCTCTGCGTGGACGACAGCAAGAGCATGGGAGAGTCCAGCTCCGGCAACCTCGCGCTCGAGTCCCTCGTCATGGTCTCGCGCGCCCTGACCATGCTCGAGGTCGGCCAGGTCGGCGTCATGGGCTTTGGCGCCGACGTCTTCACCGCCCACGACCTCGTCGAGCCCTTTGCCACGCACGAGGCCGGCGCCCGCGTCCTGCAGAACTTCTCGTTCGACCAGGACGGCACCGACATCTGCCTCCTCATCCGCCAGACCATCGACCGGTTCCGCCTCGCCCGCCAGCAGAGCGCGACGCGCGGGTCCGAGGACCTGTGGCAGCTGTCGCTGATCCTTTCCGACGGGCTGACGCCCTCGTCGGCGCACGAGCGCATCCGCCGCCTCCTGCGCGAGGCCATGGAGGAGCGCGTCATGATCGTCTTCATCGTCATGGACGACGCGGGCAAGAAGAAGGGCGACAGCGTGCTGGAGCTCAAGGAGGCCAAGTTCTCCAAGGACGAGATGGGCAACAGCCGAGTCGTCATTGAGCGCTATCTCGATACCTTTCCCTTCCAGTACTACTTGATCGTGCACCATCTCGAGGATCTCCCAGGGGCTTTGGCCGGCTTGCTGAGGACCTGGTTTGCGGAGGTCAATTCTTAGCTATAGACGGTGGTGGTAGACGTGCCCGCATCTACATGGCTGCATAGCAGGGGCGTTAGATTGGAGTTCTATGTATTTACAGTTTATTCCTCTTCTATCCTCTGCTTTTTCTCGGTGTTTTGAGGGTATTCACTCAGTCTAGATTGGTCGTTTCGCATTTGAAGCAAGAACTTGAAAATATAATAATGCAATTGCATGAATGTCTAGGAACGCCTGCCTACTCATGAGATGGTATGAACTCTTCTTGCCTAAACAAACAAGAAAACCATGAACTAGCAACGCCAACAACTGTACTGCTTGCACGAGACTTGATCCGCTCAGTGACTAAAAACGATCTCAGCCCTCTCCTAGTCCCATACCAATGATCTGTATAGTTATCATCTCATACTCCCCGAGTCTTCAAGATTATGCCAGCCTCAAGCGACGCCAAACCTAGCATAATGATCCCCGTCATCGTGCTGCTCCTGGCTCTGAGGCAGCACGCCTTGCAAATCCTCGATATCGCTAATGGTGTCGTTGAACACCTTGCTAAGGCCACTCAGGACGCGGCTGCGGTTCCACTCGCCGCGCGTGCGCCAGATCTCGTCCATCAGCTCGCGGCTGATCTGCTCGAGCTGCTCGATCGTGCAGCCCGAGGTGCGCTCCGTCAGCTCCAGCAGGAAGTTGTGCACGTAGGTCTCCGGCAGGATGGTCTGCTGTTGCTGAGACGATGACGATGACGAAGTGTGCCCCGAATTGCGGAGGGAAGAAGAGTGGCTGACGTCGCCGTCGTGCCCTCCGCCGGCGAGGCCGTCTCCTCTGGAGGCCTTGCCAGGCTCCGTGGAAGTGGGACTGCTCTGCTCACTTCTGCCACCAAAGCCCATACGGGGCTGGATCACGCCGCGAGCTATGCCGTGAGCTTGGGAATGTGGCCACTGCGCATCGCTGGATGTTGCCTGGCTCGGTCCGGATCCGTCCATTGGCTGCGTGTCGGGTAGTTGTGAGCTGTTGTGCTCGGCCACATCACTGTGGAAGCCATTGGTAGCGTGGCCGCTCCAAGGTCCGGAGGACCGGTTGGTTGAAGGGTCAGAGGTCTTCGTCGTGGATGCGTCATTCACGATGGCGGAAGGCGACATTCCTGGCGGCAGAGTGGTGATAGCAGAGACCTGAGATATCTGCGTGTTGCCAGCAGTAGCCCTGGTGGAATGGTCCAGAGACCTAGGATCCGTCTTCGGCCATTGCGATGGAGGGCCCATTTGTGACACGGGCTGGGTCATCTCCTCGTCCATGCCGCTCATCTGTGTGTCTTCGCCGTTGACACGAGAAGGAACGGAGTTCCCATTACTGAGAGGGTGTTGCTGGCCAGCCTCGTCGCCACCGGCATTCGCCTCTGGGCTCATCAGGCGGAAACGGGCTGTAGTAGTACCAGGCACAGTCTCGCCGATTGTGACAGGGCCCACAGGATTCTGCGAGTCGCTATCATGGACATCAGATTGGATCAGGTCGATCATGGACTGGGTGGCCTTTCTCTTGCGTGCTTTCTCAGCAGCATCCCGGGCCCTTTGCGCCTGCCTCTGATGCAGGCCTTCCCAATCGCCTTGAGCAAGCCGAGCCTCCACTTCAGCGACATCAACCTCGACATTGCTAACCAGTTCGTTCGCTTTGAGAACACGCTCCTTGTCGCCAATGTTCCTGGAGTCCTTGGCGAGAGACTGAATGTCTCGGAAGAAGTCCTTCGGTCTGGCATAGTAGCCGTTCGATAAGCGTTCCTCGATAGTAGCGAGGTCCAGGTTGTAGAAGAATTTGCCTGTTGCAGTTTCCTTCAGGCCCTCAATCCCATCTTTGTCCTTGGCAATCTCGAAGGGGCGAATCAGGGCTTCGGACAGGTCTGGTCGAATGTAGTTGGGATCGGCCTCTTGCCATAGATAGTGAATCTGGCTGTCCGGAATGACGCCTTGCCGGAACTTCTTGTACTTCTTCATCTGGTCCATGATCGGTTGAAGCTGAACCTTGAGAAGGTTGAGCATAAGGTGGTCCCTCTTGAGCTCTTCCTTGATTTCGGCCTTGGTCTTCGGCTTTGGCGGCGGCGGCGGCGCGACAGGAAGCTCTTCCAGCACTCTCTTCTTACGGTTTGCTGGATCTGGAAAGTCGTTGGGGCTCTTCCTGATGTGCGAAATTACGTTGGTGAAATACTCCAAACGGCTCTCCTAGAAGAAGGTCAGTATAACGCTCGGGATCAAGATAGACAGACACAACTTACCCGGTTTGGACGAGCGATTGTAAGTCGATTCTTTTTGGAAAATCCAAACAAGTCCTTCAGCACCTCGGGCCGAATGTCTTTTGCCTCGCAATCGGCTGTGGCGAACAACAGGACGGGGTCGGTGGGTGGTATTGACCGTAACATGGTGACAAAAGTTGTATACGATGGGCCCGCCAACGTATCATACCAAGCATTGATATCAGGAATAGAAATCACGGCAGGTTTGTGGCGTTTCACCTCTACAAATAATCCAACAATAACTTGCTCGAGAGGCTGTGTTCTGTTAGCACCAGTAAATGGTCAGCAAAAGGGGGTCGGCACTCACTCGTCCATCTCCAAGCAAAGACGGGAGGTCAAAGCTCTGCACATGTACCCCTTCAAAATGGTGAAGTATAGCAGAGGAGAGGTAGCCCTGGCCCATGCCAGGGAGACCGGTGATAAGAAGCCGAGGCCTGAATATCCGGGATTTTTCAAACTCCTGGTTCAGGTTCTCCCGGCCGAACCCATGATCTGCGTCATCAGGGATCTCGAACATTGCCTCTTCCAAAGCAGTCGTCTTCTTCTTACGCGGCAGGATGTCGTTCAGCAGCTTGATGGTCGAGGCATACTGCGTGCGGAGGAGCGGCTCGATCGATTTAGGCAAGGGTGTTGCGCCTGATGTAGCTGACCGCTCAGATGAGGGAATCATCTTTTTCATGGAAATCATGAAGTCAGCAGCATGAATGTTGATCTTTTCTGGCTCAACGATGAGCTTCTCCTTTGCGGAATATATCTGCGGATACGTCCTCTGGATGGCATTCAACGCAGACTCGGTGCAAAGGGCTCGAAGATCAGCGCCACCATATCCCTTGGTGTTGTCTGCAAGTGTGTTTTTGAATTCATCCGACAGTCCCCAGTCTTTGGTGTGGATGTCGAGGATCGCTCGGCGACCCTCAACATCAGGCAGCGGGAAGTAGAACTCGCGGTCAAAACGCCCTGGACGTCGGAGGGCTGGATCGATATTGTCTGGGCGATTCGTGGCACCGATCACGATGACCTGGCCTCGGCCATCCATACCATCCATCAAAGCCAGGAGGGTCGAGACGATGGATGCATGGATCTGTTCCTGTTTACTAGACCGGACAGGGGCAAGACCATCAATTTCATCAAAGAAAATGATGCTTGGTTGAGTCCTCCTGGCCTCCTCAAAGAGAAGCCGCAGCTGCTTTTCGGCTTCGCCAACCCATTTGCTCAACGCATCAGCGCCTTTGCGCATGTAAAACGTGATCTTGCGGCCACCAACGCCAACGGAATTGGCAAGTGCTCTCGCCAAGAGCGTTTTACCCGTGCCAGGAGGGCCATGAAAAAGTACACCACGGGGGGGAGTGACTTTGAATCGAAGGAAGAGCTCCGGGTACAGCAGGGGCAGTGTAACCATCTCCTTCAGTTGATTGATGTGACCTTGGAGACCACCGACTTTGCTGAAGTCAACACTCAGATCGACGCCAAGCGGGTCGGCATCGGCAAATGCCTTCTGATTCTTGACCTTGCCGACATTGGGGGTCGCAGCTACACCGGTCAGCGCCTCAAGGTTGATCGGGGCGGCAAATCCGGGCGGCGCTGCGGCTGAGGTGGGGGTCATGCCGACGTTGCCGCCGACTCCAGGTTTGTGAACCATCTCGTCATCACTGCTGTCCGACTCCACACCGCCGGTCGCACCAGTGCCCCACGGGCCGCCAAGAAGCGAGCCCGCACCACCGCCGCCCCCGAAAGGCCCGAATGTAGACAAGAGATTGCGCTGCCACGCCGCGCCGGCGCCGGCGCGAGCATTCCGGCGGCGCACGGGCGTGGGCGCGGGATCTTCTTCCTCATCTTGGTCCACCAGTTGATCAAGAGGCTTAATACTATAATCAACAGGTTTCGTGACCCTTCTTCGTTTGGGCAACTGTTCATAGGATATTGAAGGGGAGCGCACACGGCGGCGCGGTCGAGAATGTGAGCTCTCCCTCAATTCCTGAATCTCGGCATCCATCTCGTCAGGGTTGAACTCTACATCGTCGTCTGATTCATTAGCTCGACGCCGCTTGGTCCCGCGTCTCTGAGAGCCTCTTCTGCCCCGTCCGCTAGGACTCGAGTAGTCCTCGTCGCTACCAGCATCCCCTTTGGTGGGAGCGGCTTCGGAGCCGGATGCCTCGCCTTCGCCAGAATCCTCGTTCGGCTCAAAGTCGCTGCTAGGCTCCTGAGTCGATTTCTTCTTCCTAGAGCCACGGGTCAGGCGGCGGCCACCAGTGTTGTTTTCAGATTCGTCATCGGCTTCTTCAGGAGCGCCTTGTTCAGCAGCATTAGCACGCGAGGCACGAGTCCGCCTAGTAACCGGTACATCGTCTTCGTCATCGTCCTCAGGCTGAATCTCCTCCTCGCCCTTTTCACCGCCATCGTCGGCGTTCTCTGCGTTGGCGGCGCCATCGTCAGCTGCAACATCTTCCGCAATCTCAGCAGAGTCGATCGGTATATCTGCAGCGCCGTCCATTCCACCAAGAAACTCGCCTTCTTCCAAGTGGTTTCGCGAGCTGCTCTCCTGGGTTGCTTCCTCGATCGTGGAAGGGGGTTTCTTGAGTCCCTTGGTTCCGCGAGTCGGACGCGAGTGCTGGGCCATCGCTTCAGGGCTCCTGCTCCTGGAGGTACTAGCCGGTTGAGCGTGTTTTCCTGAGTTGGAGAGCTCATAAAATTCGTCGGCCTCCTCGGTATGCGCCCTAGTGCGGCGAGTGGTGGGCGCGGGTGTGTTCCCATCCAAATCGCGGAGTTTCTCCTTGTCAAGCTTCTTGATAGTAATGACACGAGTCTTTTTGGTAGAAGCCTTGGGAAGAGTCTCTATCTCCTCACCATCCGAGTCAGAGTTCCCGGCGACGCTCTCCTCTTCGGCACTGCTTTCTTTGTAGCTCTGGTGGTTGCGCGCAGCTTTCCTAGTGCGACGACCGGCTGCGTTGGTGGGCTGGTCCTCATCTTCATCCTCGTCCTCCTCATCATCATAACCTTCGCCGAACGAGTCCTCGAGCTGGCTATCGGAGATATCGTCGTCATCGATGTCCGAGCCTGCGTATTTGTTGTGTTTTCTGCGAGACCCTGAGGTCTTGGCCTTGGCCCCGCGCGACTTCTTCTTGCTGTGCCGAGGCTTGTCGTCATCTCCTCCCGGCTCAAAGTTTTCATCCTCGGAGTCGGACTTGTTAGGATCAAAGTCCAGGATGTCTCTCTTCCTCTTGCTCGGCATCTTGAGTGGCTGATCGGAGTAGGTACGAGACTGAAAAGTAGCCTACAACACTGGTGGTGTTTCCAATGCCGGGAAAGTAGTCATTTATGATAGCGACAAAATGCGAGGCGGGTATGAGCCAGGTCGCGCGAAGAGTGCGGGATACCCAGGACTGCGGATGAATTGTGCGTCAGTACAAAAGGCTTGTCATGTGTCGAGAGCAAACAGAGAATGCAATGCAACGCGTTGAGTATGTGGATAGGAAAGGAAACGCCAAATGGCTGTGGGAGTTGTTGGACTTACAGCTATCCCAAAGGGTCGAGTCTTGATAGCGGCAGGCCACGGATCAATGCAGACAAGTGAAGCAGCAAGAAACCCTGCTCCCCGAGGAGGCGAAGTGAAAGAGTGGGAAAAAAGTGTTTGTCACCTCGAAGTATCCATGCAAGTGACGTGAAGAATGCTATACGCTGCCTCCAAGGAATTGAATCGATGTGGTGCGGTCACAAAAGCCAAGTGTCGAAGCCCGCGGGAACAAAGGCGAGCAGCTTGGTTCTTTCGATAACCGATCTTGGTGGAAAATCGAGGTTGAAAGCGATGTTTGCGCGTTGTCGCGGTTGCTCCTTGGGGGAGGGAGGAATTATGGGTCAGGCGCAGACCCCCTGTGGCCTAGCACACCAATCAAGGGTCCCCATTTGGCACTGAGCGCCGGGTTGGTCCGAGCTCGCCCAGGCAGGCAGATTCGGGTCAATCCCCACATCGTCGTCGCGTGAATAGCACGGCGGCGGTGGCCCTTCAACACCACCATCAATAGCATCCAAGGAGTCCACCCATCACCAATACTCCACCCACGGCGACCGCGTCAATGAACAATTCCCGGGTCGAAAGAGTCCCTCAAAGTAAGTAGCGCTTGCGATCTGCCACGGGAGCTGCAGTGTCTGATTGGGCGATTCACCGAGTCGCGTTGGTGTCCTCGCGCCGTATGGGTGAATAAAAGCGAGTTGAAGAGTTCTGGAAACAAAAGAGGTGGAAGAAATGTCTTCAATAAATGTTCAATGTCGGCCATGTGCCTAGGTGCACGCAACCCTGAATGATTCCTCGCGGAGAGGCGGGGCCACGTGGATGCGGCTCAAGCCAGGAACACCCCAAGAACATGGGGAAGTCAGTTGGCAAACCGCCTTGGCGAGTGCCGACTGATGGGGGATCCGCACCTACACGTACTGGTTTAAACTACCGACTACGTACTCACTCTCCTGTACCGAGTTCCGAGAGAGACACTCAACTGTCTTGGGCTGTTGCACTTGCACTCTTGTCAGCCTCCAAATCCATGCCACGAACCCTGAGCCCACCACGTCTTGTCTTCTCACAGTCACACACTGCTCAACGTTGAAAAAGGGAGTATCCTGAGGTAGGTAGTCATATCCTCATTTTCCAGAGTATTTTAGTCGAACCAGGGGCAAAATGTATTGTGAGTGCAAGCCCTAGAGATGGCATGGCTAAGCCCATATTGAATACACGGACGTATTGATTAGATAAGCTAAACCGACGGACATCAAATGTCTGCTCTTGTATCCATCCTCCCCGGTGGGTACTCTGTAAGGGTATTCTTCTACGTAGAGGTACTTAAGCTGAACCTGGCAATTAACCATCCACAGCACCACCAGCGGTGGTTCCCGTCACCCTCCACCCCAACTCTACCTGCGCCTCTGTGGTATCTTGGGGAAGCTCAAGGGCAACGCCAGCTTCGCAACGGTATCCGTCCTCCCAGGCGACTTGACCTGCCTCATCCGGGCACCGATCTCCATGAAGTACTGATTCAACTGCTTCTGCTCCAGCTTGAGATCTTCCCTAAGATCAGTCGTGTTTACATCGAAGCTATCGATGATACTGGCAAAGACACAGCAGTGTGTCATCAAGAGATCAATGTGAAATTTGCGCATCTCCCCATTTTCCGAGAACTTGTGGCGAAGATTATCGACCACATTTTCCGGTGCCCCCGCCAGAGAGCTCCTGAGCTTGTCCTTGGGCAGAATTCGCATCGTACCTCGTGGCTTTCCGGGCTTTGCCAAGCGGTAGAATTCGAGGAGCCAATAGAAATAGCGTAGCACGCGGAGACGCTGTAGCGCGTCCTCATGAGCCGCCACCCGGTTCATACGGTGGGCAACAAACCGGGAATGCAGTTGAATAGCCTGGCCCTCCTTCAGAGTTTGCTGCCAATCACGGACGGGGATCGAGTTCAGGACTTCGGTCCCTATGATCTCTTCCGGCACATAGACATCCTGTATCTCGTCGGCGTCGTAGTTACCCTTGGGCACGGGTTTCGCTAGATCCACTGCCGCCTGTAGCTGCTCTTTGGTCGCCATTTGTGATGTAGTTTGTTTCAGTGAGTCCATCATCGCGACTTCGGCGGCGCCCAGCTTCTGGGGCTTGGTAGTATCTCCGGGCAGTCGCTTCGGCGCAATAGCATTCTCTGTCTGAGACAGGATCGCTTTCTTCGCCTTCTTCGTGCCGAAGGTCTGGCCAAGGTCGTTCTTCAGATCCATAGCAGACTGTGTATGTTAGCATTGCAGTCGATGCCACCTCCAAGATATCGCAAATCTTACCTGTTTGCCAGTGTGGTCGGCCATGGCGTCTGCTGAAGCCTGCTGCGATCGAACAGCGCCTCTGATGATCATCTTGCGAGCTTCCACGACCTGCAGCTCTCCACTTGTCGGATCAAATATCCCAATGTAGTGTCGTAAAGGCGCCTCGGCGCCTTTGACTCCATCTTCTCGCCCCGTGTAGTCCAGCGTCCGATGTGAAGAGGAATGCAGGAGCAAGTCGCCCAGAGCGGCCGCATTTTGTCGCTTCCGAGAACTGGGCTTGGCCGCTTGCGTATAGGACTCGAATTGAATAGAGTTGCCAACACAGATTCCTGGTGTTGTGGCTGCAGGAGTCTTTCAGTTAGCAACCAGACCCGCGATAGGTTCATCGTCTTTTGGGAACATACCGATCACTGGTGGAGAGAACTGAGGCTTGACGACCTTGGAAACTCGAATGGTAGCTGGAGGAGCGGGCGCCTCGGCTACGGAAGCTTTCTTCTTCTTGGAAGCAGAGGGCTCATCAGCCCGCTTCCTCTTTGTTCCACTGCCCTCCGCCATGTTTGCATGAAATGGAAGTTGGTGCAATGCCTCTTGTGAGGTTGTTCTCTAGATGAGAGAGAAGCCTTGGTCGCCCAAAAATTTTGGGACCCCACTAGCGACCCTACAATCGCTAATTGACCACCCGAAAGAAAATTTTAGTGGGTCACTGGCCACTGATGGACGGTGCTACAACCTACTGCTCGTCCACTGATGCTGCTCGAGCGAAATGGATCAAAGATGTGTGACGCAGGACCATTTGCAGGGCTGAGACAGCCTGCTGTGGAGGTCATGGTCACTGATACATCACGGTAACACGCAGAGGCAGGTGGAAGTTATCTGTCAGGGAAGCAAGTGCATTGATTATTGTCGGCAACTTTGCTAGGTCCAATTCTCGTCACGTAGAACGCAACCAGCTTCCAAGCCTAGTTTCTGTAAACCCTTCCTGTACCGCCCAGCCGCTTGAAAGGCGATCAATCCGTGGGGTCTCCATCTCGCCAATTGCCATAAATGCCCCGTCAACCAGGTGGACCTCGTGAAGCTCCAGTAAGCCTTTTCTCAGGCCGTCAAGACATGTCCCCTGACCGAGGAAAGGGTGCTGATTCAGATCTCGAGGTGATGTGGTGCGAGAGATGGTGCAAGTGTGGTGTGCGGTAGCCCGTTATTTGTCTGGCGGAAACGGGAAGACTTGATCGAAGGCCAGTTGGTGGGGAAGCCGTTTACTTGCTGTTGAGGCACGCGACCGTTAGCTTTGCTGGACAAAGCCGGAGACATGCAGGATGTGGGAGAAAGACTTACGATCTGGCTCTCATCTTTCTTCTCTTACGCTTGAGGCGTCGAACACGCTTCTTTCTCCATTTGGCTCTCATCTTGAACGACGGGTGCTGGATGCGGGGTCAGTGACGTGATGAGAGTGGCACGGTGGCGAGGAGAAGGTTGGAAGCTTGGAAAAGTCTTCAAAGCTTGATAAAAAGGCCCATTGCAAGCAGGAATACCGTGCAATGGTCGATGTGGAGGGGGAGATGGGTTTTACTCACTTGTTCGTGGATGAGATACGGTTGGTGATGTCGCAAGGAAGAGAAAGAGGAAAGCGAGAAATGGAAAAGCTTCGAGCGAGGTAATAGTAATATGGGTGGGTGGGTGTGTGCCCTAACATTTGTGCCGATGATTTTCCGATGATTTTCCGCACCGTAATTGGTGGCCAGTCACGTGGGGAAGAATTGGGTTGACAACAGCACGACGTCATTCGCTCCTTCCCCTCCACAATAGCTAGGTAGCGACCTTGGAAGCTAGCTGACTGAATAGATCCTGAGTGCAGAGTGAGAGAGCTGCACCAATTCGTGTCAAGACTTGGACAAAGGGATTCATATGTCTCCTGACGAACAATGCCCGCAGATCATCCTGACCTTCAGCTGTTATGAGCCGTGCATGGTACCAGGTTGCATCAATGCCTTCTCTTCTCTCACAGTTCAAGTGTGGAAGACAGGTCAGGCACACAGCATCTATGTGCTTGCTTGCCTCACTTCAGCAAGATTTACTATCTCCGGATGCTTCCTTCCTCGCAGTCACACTTGATAAAGAGGTCACTCTGTAGTGATAGAGCGCCTTCCCGAAGCAAACAGTGCATGATATGTGTGGAAGTCGTCCTTGCTGTGTCGGCGCCTCTTTGTGTGTACCTCGATCAGCTGTTCTCCTGCCATAAAGTGACAATGCCGAAATACTGCATACTTGATCCAATCGTGTCCCCTATTTAAACACGGCGTGTTGGAATAAAACCACGACTCCTGTTGAGCGGATGCCATGCCCTCAGGCACCCCCCTGGGCGAGATTGTCTTCACTGACAGAAGCCAAAGGCCTCCCTCGTCCTGTGAGTCTGCTGTTACTCGCGAGCCTGGGAAATTGCAAAGCTCGGCTGGCCGCCAATGGTCTTTCAGCTAATGTTCCTCGGAAGTCAGGTTGGGTATCTTCCCTGATGAGATCATTCGGATTGGACGAGATCCTCGAAATAAGTGAGCACCCTTTATGGCTATTGCTAGCATGGAATGGGGACTTATACCAGCATTGTACAGTGATATCCACTTTGAGCATGCAGCTATCTCGAGAAACCACCTCGAGTTCTACTCAGTTCTGTTTGACGAAACTTCACGGCATTGTCCCCTGATATATGTGAGAGATCGCCAGTCTTGCAACGGGACCTTCGTAAACGGCATCTTGTGCGGGAAGGAGCCCGATATAAGTCCCGCAGTGCTCCTTAATGACGGCGACGAAGTTACAATAAAACCACATTGGAGCTTCAAGCTCTACCAGCCATTTATACAGAACGCCGACCTCGACTTGACCCACTGGCAGCGAGAAGAGGTCGCTGTGAGTCTCTTCCTAACATTCATTGTGCCTCACATTCTGACCAAGTCGGTGGCAGCTCCTTGATGCTCGCTACATCGTCACCAACAGAACTCTAGGAGAAGGGGCATATGCGCGGATTAACCTGGCATTTGATGTGATGACCGGGCAGCAACTCGTATGCAAGATTCATGATGTTGCCTCGCTGGCGAACTCAAAGGGGCTGGAGTCCCTCCGCCGCGTGCATCAAAAAGCCTTCATCCTGAGCCAACTGGACCATGTGAGTGTTGTGTGACTAAACACGGGGCAGAGTTTAATCGGAAGGGATATAGCCCAACATTGTAAGTCTGAAGCAGACCTTTCGAGCCTCGAGGACTCTGTAAGTCTTGAGAAGCGTTGCTCCATCCTCGGGGGATTTCGCGTCTGACAACATCCGATCTAGGTTTTTCTTTACCGAATTGGCAACTGGAGGAGATTTGTATTCAATCCTTGAGAGGAAGAAGAGGTTCAGTGAGCTCGAGGTCAGATGGGTCATGAGGCAGGTTACTCGAGGGCTGGTCTATCTGCATGCCAAAGGTGTTGCACACCGCGACCTGAAACCCGAAAACATACTGTGTGCCGTCGGCACAGAGGCCACACATCGTATCATGATATCGGACTTTGGCTGTTCTGCAGTTGCTAGCCGAGGGAGGATGACATCTAACGTTGGCACCCGCCTATACCAAGCTCCGTTCGTCTACCCCAATACCTGAATTGTCTCCCGTCACTAACTGACCCATGCCTTACTCTCAGGGAGTGTGCCGTCTCAGGCCATACACACGATCTAGCAGTAGATATCTGGGCCCTTGGCTTGCTGGTCTTTCAATTATCTGCGGGCAACCGGGACGTCATCGACCCTGACGAGCTCCAAGGACCCCTCGGCATCGAAAGTCATATCCAGCGCGTCCTCAACACCCGCAGGGCGGACTTTCCGGATCTCCTGTCAGCCGACTGGTTCGACTTTGTCCGTCGTTGTTTGGTACAGGATCCGCGGGCAAGGATGACGGCCGGGGAAGCCATGCGCCATCCTTGGCTCAACGAGCCAGCGAGCTGCCTTGCCATCTTCAAGAAGCGGGAACTCGAGACCACTCGGACGTGGAGGCCAAGAGAGATCGTCTTGCCGACGATTGTGGACCTCTCCAACGTCTGATGGAAAATGAAAGGCGAAAGAAAGAGCGGTCGGAAACCCATCACCACTGGCTACTGATGCACAGATCGACTTTGGCGCGCGTGAAGCATTACGCTGGCGCAAAGATCTATCTTGCCGCGTTTCGATTTGGGATCCTATCCCTTCTGCCACGGAAGCAGCAATCAAAGAACCCAGCAAGTGGTTCAAGCAAGTCGATTGGCAACGAGCCCTCAAGGACGGGCGAGGGACGCATGCTCTCGGGGTGGATGTGGTTGACGGATCCCACTAAAACCTGCTCATACGACGAGCCACATCACACTTGCATTCATGCATTGCTGCCCATTGACATCGTGGGCATCTCCATATGTCGAGAGCCCACCGCTGTTTGGTCTTGTTGATCAATATAAAATTCGTGAATATCGAATCTTCCCAGTTCTAGTCTTTTCATTCCAGCAGTTGTAAACATCACATCAAAATAGAATAATTATTAGGGTATCATATATACCACGGCAAGCGCCCATTGAGGGGCGTCTTTGAGAGTCTTGCCGTGCTTCCCTTACTGGTTTGTTTCTTTACTTTTCTTCGTCAAGTTCACATGGTCTCGTCTCTCGCGGTCATGGAAAGACACGAGCTTGCTTCTCATTGATGTTCACCATAGCTCCCCATCTTCATCTCAGAAGACCGGTACACCGATCTCTCTCGCTCGGGAACGCCAGTCCCCGAAGCCCATCAAAAATAGCCGTTTCAGTACGGGCTGTCCTCTGTCGTCACCTGAACGACTTGAACGACTTGTGCGCCAGGGGCGAAGTCGCCGATCCCGGAGGGCCCATCAACCCTAGGCCTCGGCCGTGCGTGTCCCGCATCCGGCCGCCGCGCATGTTGGGCGTGTTGGCGCAGTAGGCGCATATATACATTGAAGGGAGGTCCCGCTTGCTGATGTTGACGCAGCGACCGTGAAGCCACATCTCGCAGGATTCGCTAATCATTTCTCGAGTCAGCCACGACACAACCCCAGGTAACTACTAACTACGCTATCCCGCCGCCGAAAGGTCCGCTGGAGGCGGCACGTCCAAGGGGGCAAAAGAAGAAGCTTACCATTGCACCATGAAGTCGTCTCCGGAGTGGCGAGCTTCATGTCGGTTGCAGACGCAGCGGATGCAGTGGCCTCGATCGGAAGAGGGGGTGGGGAGGCTCGCCTCGGTGAGCGTCGTGGGCGAGAGGGCGTGGTTTTCCGAGTACGAGCGGGGAATAAACCCGCCGTTGCCACCGCCGGCGTGGAAGCGCTGCTGCTTGTGCGCGGAGCTCGTGCCCAGGTTGAGCTTCTTGGGGTGGCTCATCCGCCGGGCCGGGCGGCCGTGCCGGAGCTTCTCGAGCTCGCTGGCGGCGTCGCCGGACCCATTATGATTATGGGGTTCGTTCATGACCGTCTCCGCCTCGCTCTCGGGGTCGTTGTACAACGAGTCCGCCCCCGAGGCGTACAGGCCCGAAGCGCTGGCATTATTACTGCGGTCGCTGAAGCTCCGCTGAGCAAACACAGCGGCACGCGAGGTGGCCTGGAGGGGGTCGGGCTCGACAAACGAGTTCTTGGCACTGGGAATGATGATAGGTTCATCGTCGCTAGACGATCCGTCGTCGTCAGAGTAGTCCCAATGCGCCCTGTGCACCGGGTTCAAGGTCGACCGCCTCATGGGGCTTGCCTTGGCAGACGCTCGTCCACTGGGTGCGAAGATCTGCTCAATGCTCGCTCTGCCGTTGGCATCGACCACAATCTGGGCTTGCGCCCTCTGTTTGGGCCCCGCGGTCTCGGGGATAGAGGTCAGGCTCGACAGTCTGGAGTGGATGTTGCTCTTTGGGGGAGAGGCCCTTCGGCTGCCGTGCAGGTGCCGGCCGCTGTTATTCTCGGAGCTTCCAGACATATTGCCCGGTGCCAATACAGGCAACGTTGCCGAGGACCTCATGAGATGGCGCTTGCCGCGGTTTTCGCTCATGCTACGGGAGAGACCCGGCCGCACAACGGGTTTGATGGGCGAGCTGAGCGAGCTCATATCCCGCGGTCGGTTCTGCCCGACCTCTCGAGTGCTCATCGACCGGCGCAGCTGCGTCTTCATGGGAGCCTTTGACACCATCTGATCCGGGTCGGCTCTGGACATGGGGGCGGCGGGCGCTGAGGAGCTGGGAATCTCGGACATGAAGCTCGCTGCTTCCAGATTGGAGGAACCGGGCCTGCTGAACAGCAAGCCCGGGTTGACACCCCCAGTTGGGTCCACGATCCCGAAGGGATCATCGATCGGTGTCGGATAGCTAGTGGCAAACATGCTTTGGTCTACGCCATCGAACGACATGGCCATGGATTTGGACATGGCAGGGAACCCATCTGACGGCTGCTGCATGTTCCCTTGTCCGACGGAGAGCGGGACGGCTCCCGTTTCTTGGAAGATCTGATTAGTCCGAGCCCAGTCGGCCGAATTCATCGGTCGGTGCTGGGTCGGTGTAGGTGTCTGGAAGACATCGGCCCCGCCCGAGAAGTCTACATCCATGCCTGACATGCCCGACTCTGGGTCCCAAAACGGCCGTGAATCGGTGAAGGCCGGCGCCGTGGCCCGCCCGGACATGGGGAAGCCAAAGACGGCGCTCGGCGTGGTCACAAAAGTGCCCATGGCTGACTGGTGTGGTGTTCCAAAGTCGTGCTGACCGTAAGCCTGTTCATGTTGCATCTCGTCGGTCTGGAGCTTGGGTGCGAGCTTCCGCTCTCCCTTTCGAGCTGAAGGAGGCGGAGTGGCCGTCTGTCCCTGCGGTTCCTTTGTGATTGTAGCACGGCGCTGTTTCTTGGTCGACCTTTCGACAGAGCTGTTCAGAGCACTGGGGTCACTCGTTCGATCTGGACCCTGAACGAGGGCGGGCGAGGACGAGAGTCTGTGGGAGGGATCGACGGGCGGGAGGTTGGGATTCGGAGAGAAGTGATTAACATGTGCCGCAATCTCAGAGGCGATGTCTCCGGTGGACAGTTGTCTTTTGGAGGTCGAGGACTGTTGGTAAGAGGTATAGGTTGAAAAGTCCACAAACGGGCCCGAGCCGCCTCTGAGGTTCCCCGGTGTGGCGTTGAAGACGGAATATTCCTCGGCAAAACGAGGGGTCCAGCCGCCGGTTGAGCCGTCGAAACTGCCCTGGTGCTGTCTGGGAGTTTCAAAGACAGGACTCGCAAAGTTGGATGTGGGAGTTTGCTTGGGAGTCGGTGGCTGAGCGTTTGGATCACCAAAGCTGTGGCAAGATGGAGCGATATTAGCTACCGAGACAACACAACCCGGACGAGGAACGTTGGAAAGGGAGAGAAAAATTCTTCCCATAGCCCGAAAGGGAAAGGGAAAGAGTAAGAAAGAGACAAGAGGGCCAAAGCGGACGGGAAGATGCGAAGGGGAGGCGAGGCAGAGAGTGGGAGGTTGAATATCGAGAGAAAAAAAAAGGCGGAAAGCTCCTCGTACCTTGAAGCCTGCTGTTCTCCACTCATAGCAATATCGGCAGCTTCTGTCATAGACCAACCCTGATCAGACCATGCATGTCAGTCTGGGTGGGAAAGACAGTTCGGTTGCCCTTCTTGTCTTCTCGTAGCTTGTTCTGTTCGAATGGGAGAGGAGCGTTGGAATGCTCTGCCTGTAACAGTGTCTCAGGGAGGCCCGAGCAAGCCAAGCGGACAGAGCGTAGCAACAGTGCGTGGAGGCGGACGGGAGTTGGTTGGTGCTCGGCAAGGTATTATTAGGCTCCACGGGGGTGGCAGAAATGGCTTCGTCGATTTGTTTCACAGGTATGTGGGCTTTGAATCTTTCGTAGTCTCGTCGTTCATTACTATAAGCGGCGAGCTGTTCTCATAGTCGGGACGGGAGTCGGGGCCAGGAAGGATAGGTTGTGCTTTTTCTCTCTCTCTCTCTCGGTCTTGTTGGTATGGTTTCATTACAAGCCTACCAAAGGGATGATTGGGATGCATGTCAGCTAACTTTATCTATCGCATCTGTAGGCCCGTGGAATGCCAGGCAGAGTCAGGCAAGGGCAGAGGAAGTGGGGTGGTTGCAGGGAGGGAGAGAAAATACCCGGCATATTACAACAGTCCAGGTAGAGGTAGGAAGACCGGTCAGTCACCGCGAGGTGGATACGGGCGTGTGTATGTATGCAGATGTAGCACCGCCGAGAGAAGATCATTCACAGAATCAAGATCGAAGACGGGAGAAGGGCACAATGAGAAAATTGAATAACCAGGAAAAGGATGTGGGAAAGAGGAGACATGTGAGGTGAGGGAACAAGCAAGCAAGCAAGCAAGCAAGCACAGGCGCCTTCAGGCGGGAGGGGGACGAGATACAATAGGTACGGAGTCGATAGAGACTGCACATATAAGCCAGGACGGAGTAAGCCAACCGACTTGCGCTCTCACCCTAGTCCAGGTACCGGCCGCCGAGGGAAGATGGGGGCTGAAAATGCTCGGGAGCCAGGAAGTGTCGTCGAGATGGTTGGGTCTGTCTTTCTATCTGCATGGAGTACCTCTGCTAGGTTGCACCGACGTAGTGGTACCCGAGCACGATTAGGAAAGCGAACGACAGAGCAGCAGAGAAGAGGCACGAGAGGGTTGCTGGGATATGGATGCAAGTGGGTGTGGATGTGTGGTGGATGTGTGTGGGTAAGTGGACTGGCCGGGCGGCTTCTGCACAGTCGAGGTTGGCTAGCAAAGGCTAGCACTTGGGTAGGTAGTAGGAAGAGACGAGACGAGACACAGACAAGACAAGAACCGGACTGGAGTCGCAGAGGGCCGGCGATTTTCTTGCACAGCGGAGCATCGGGACCAATAGTTCACCAGGAGAAGAAGGGAGAAAACCTGGAAGCAGCAGCAGTCAATACCTACAAGTACCTAAGGTAGGTCAGTAGTTGCAACGGACGGCGGTCTGGCTGCCGAGCCAAAGCGTACCAGGGTGTGTGTTCACTGGTCAACATGTCACTATGGGTGTGCATGTTCTACGGGCTGACTGTCGGGGATGAATCCAGGCATCCGAAAGTCGGCTGTGATGCTACCAGTTGAAACTCGGGAACAGAGCAACGAGAGGTTGTCGATGACACTACTGCTTATTTTTTGGCACTAAATGGACACTCCGAAAGGGATTCGAGTAGGCAGTTTCGCAGGGAGGAGCCCTCCCACCTTGGTGGGCTGGACGGGGAGCCGGTCGCCGCTAATAGCACTGTACCTGCAGGTACGATAATAGCCCGTAAAACTCTATCCGGGTCGCGCGCCAGCCATTTCTCTGGGCGAATAGTCCCCAGAGCCAGGCCGATGCCAACTCCGTTTTCTCATTCATGGATCTCCCTACGTCTGCGATTCCGCCGACTGCTGAATCCAGGTCACCTTAGCCCTGTGTAGCTCGTAAGGAGGGAGATTTGCAAGCCTCCAGCCCGTGGAGGGCTTCAGGGCTTCTTTCAATGCTTTTTCCCGCTTCCCTTCTCTCAGACTTCCCTCCCCCTTCCCCGGTGGCAAACCGACCCTTCTGCCAAAGTGCTTGATCAAGTTGACCCCTAGGTACTCCGTAGTTGTTTGACAGGCCGGGCAACGAGCCCAAAGGACAGCAGAGGAACGTGTCAAGGGTTAGATGGGCGCTAAAGAGCGCACTATTCCGTCTGGCATGAGGCCACCGGCGCCAGGGATCCGATGAGATCGGTGGCACAAACGGAGCAGGTGTGCTTGACATGCAACGTAATATCTCCAGGCTCTTGACTCGAGAAGACTTCCGAAGCCATTCCAACCTGCTTTTTGCCTCATAAACCATACTCTCTTGCCTTGTATAAGGTTGCGTGGCTTGTCTTTCCCGCAAGCAAACAACCAGCCCAAGTCTTGCGAGCTCGTGTCCTCAAGCAGCTTGATATGTTGAATATTTACTTGCATAATGTACCTCGGCAACTCTGCCTACCTATGTTACTCAGTACCTAGTGAACAAACCTCAACAAGGATGCGCATCATCAAACCCATGTTGTCTTGGGGGGGGGGGGGGGGGGGGGGGTTTTGATCATGAG